AGTGATTTTTTGTAGAGATGATCTTTGAATGAATATCTACAAAATATATTATTTATATTAGTGAAATATAATTCAGATGAGACCCTACAAGGGTGTCCCTCTAATAAGCTTATTTGAGGGATCCTTCAATCGAAGTTCTATGTATATATGTGTGTGGCCAATGGGATCTAGCTTAGTGGAAAAGGTCTTGACTTGCAAATCAGATCAGTAGTCTCAAGTTCAAACTCCCATGATATCTTGATGATGCATATGTAAGAAACTTTCTCCCTTTATAATTTAGAATATCATTCATACATATATGTGTATAAATGTCCATCAATTGAAATACATATCGACAATTTGTAAGGGGTCAAAATCGCTTAAGGGTTGTGGTCCTAGTGGACAAAATCAACTTCAATTAAGGACACAAATTCATATAGCCTAGGGGATTGCCCACCCCTCTCTCTCTCTCTCTTTTTAAACATTGAAAAGAAATTAAATTAAGGGTCATTATCATTCATTGAATAATAATACCGTGTGATTTAATTATGGTATTAAGTCTATGACTCATTAACGAGAAGAAGTCATATGACTATAACATATTCAACAAGCTAGTCCTTCATGCATTGCATTCAAAATTTAGTCAAAAAAAATTATTAGTCACAAAAGTTCAAGTTCTTTTTTATGTACGATAATTAAGTTTCTTTAATGTAGAAATTCTAGGATTACATTCATAATTCAGCCAAAAAAGTTATTAGCTACAAAAGACCAATACAAACTAGCCACAAATGGTCATTACAATAACGGAGCGGTCTAACATCAAAATTAAGACCGTTTGGTGCACTTCTACTAACAATCACGCAGGATCAAAGAAACTCTGGCATAAGCATCCCAACTAAAATTGCAAACTCAAAATAATTAAAAAGAGATAAAGCTTGAAAAAACCAAATCATAACAATACAAATAAAACTCTCACAAATGAGATATGAAAAGCTCTCACAAAGGAGAGGTGAAAAAAGTTCTCACAAAAGGAGAGTTGAAAAGCTCTCACAAAAGGAGAGGTGAAAACTATACAGAGAACCCAAAGAGTCTCTGTGACTTATTCCAAATATAAAGAAACTGCGAAAAATATGGTGTAGAGATCCGACACTGAAACCCAAGTGGAGATCCGATACCAAAATGAAACCGTCTATGATGATTGGATGAAAACAATATTTTTTATTTTATTTTTTTTATACAAATGATATTCTAACCACATGATTTCATTTATTTATTTTGGAAATTCAACAATCTTCATTATGGGAGAGGAGAGGGGCTCAATTACCATCATTGGGGTTCAAACGGGGGTGCCATGGGGGAGGCCGAGGACCTCAACCTCTAACCATATAGTTTTGAGTTGCTTAGAAATATACAGTGTAGAGTTAAATCTATTATCTTTTTAATGAATCGGATAATGAATTAATGGTCAAAATTTAACGTCCTATCATTGAGAAATATCATTTACGTACAAATAGTTCCCTAGACACCAAGTTTTGCTATTAGTTGTTGTTTAAAATATTTTTAATTTGCCACAACAATTTGAAAAAAAAAAATGTTTTTAATTCGCTTCGAACTCTCTCACATAATATGAGGCCGGCTTATAACATTCGAAGATACCTCACATATCCATGATCCATTATTGCTAGTTTGGTTTGAATTTGCGGCGCTTATCACAAGATTAGTTAATTAATCAACTCCTATGGCATCTTCTTGGTTGCAAATTAAGGTGCATAAATGCATGCATGAAACTGCAGGTTTAAGGAAACTAAAACTTGTATTAATTTTAACCATATACACACATTAATTTTAACCATAACCATTATTGCTAGTTTGGTTTGAACCATACCTTGGCATACAAGATACAGTGACAGAGCAAGATTACATGACCAACAAAGTAAAAGGGTATACGCTTTTTTTTACCAAACCATTCCATTACCTCTCTTTTTTTTTCTTTTTTTTAATCCCTACTTCTATTAAACTTCACTGAGCTGCGCTGGGCTTAACCTACTGCGCCTCGGGCGCACTTTAGCAACCAAAGGCTTGGCCATCTCACACGACAGCCTTAGCACCTCAGACAAGTCCACGGCATTCTCATCCAACGGTAGCCATTCATACTCGTGTAAAAGCGAAGCCACCCAGTACGTGACAGTTGTCAACCCCAGGGCCTTCCCCGGGCAAGTCCGCCTACCCGAACCGAACGGCGCGAGCCTCAGATCCGACCCGAAAACCGAAAACTCCAGCTCCCCATCACGGGCCACGAATCTGTCGGGCTTGAACTCTAGTGGGTCCACCCAGACCTCCGGGTCCCTCGAGATGGCCCACATGTTTACCATGGCTGTGGTCCCTAAAGGCACATGATACCCATCAATTGTTGTATCAGTGATGGCGAGGCGGGCCCAGGATAAAAGTGGGCCAGGAGGGTGCAGCCTCAGGACCTCTTTCACCACAGCCGTCAGATACACCAACTCAGAGATATCAGACTCGTTGACGGCTCGCGACCTGCCCACCACTTTGTCAAGCTCGTCGTGGACCGTCAATTGAACATCAGGATGAAGAACCATCCTCGCCATGATCCACTCGATCAGAACCGCCACGGTGTCCGTCCCTCTAAATATCATTTCCTGCACATATAAAACGACAGCGTTTTGATTACTAACAAGAAGAAGATTTTAATGAAAAATCTGAGTAACAGCAAGAGACTGATTTAAATGCTTACCCAGAGGACGGCAATCGTATCGGAGTCGGACAATTTATCGGGTCCTTGGAGCGAAAGCAAGACGTCAACAAAGTCAGGGGCCTTTTCGTCTTTTCTGGCTTCGACGTCGGTTCGGTGTTCAGAAATGATTCGGGAGACGAACCGGTTCACTCTGGGGACGAGATTGGAGCATCTGAACCGGATTTTTTGGCCATCAAAATCAGCCAACCAAGGAAGATGATCGGACCAATTTAACATACCCAACAAATCGTACCCTTCATCGACCAACCCTTTGAGCTCTTCGACCTCATTGTTCATGGAGGCCCCAAATTCAAGCTCGTATTTTCGCCCAAAAACAGAGCACATCATGTTGTTCAGCGAAGCCCTCTTGACCACTTCACGAATGGCCAGTTTCTCCTTGTGGGTCCCAAACATTGCCACCATTTGAGAAGCTAACTCGCGCCGCTGGACCTCGGAGTTCTTGATTTGCTTGGGGGAGAAGAGATGGGCGGCGGAAATTCGACGCAGGGTGCGCCAGTAGACGCCGTACGGAGCGAACCCGATGGCCCGGTTGAACATCAGGCTGTAGGCGGACTCTTTGACGGGGCGGTCGGCGAAGACGGAGCTGTTGAGAATCTCACGTGCCACGTCAGGGTGGCACGTGACGACGACTCTGGTTTGGCCGAGGGAGAAGGCCATGAGGCGTTTGGCGTTGCAGGAGCGGGCCATGGCGGCGATTTTGCGGTGGGCCAGGGAGGTCATGAGGGCCATGCTGCCGATGAGAGGCAGGCCTCTGGGGCCGGGAATTACGGGCTTGGTTTTTGAAGATTTTAGCAGCAATGGAATGATGTTTTTGAAGTTGCGACCCCAAGCTGGGCCACCAGGGTGAGACCAGTAGATGAAGGTCATGGCAAGGCATGTTAGAGCTACGAGCAGAAGCGTGCATGCAATGCTTTCTGCAGAGAAGGCTCGGAATGATTTGGAGGCTAGGGCAAAAACCCAGAGGTTTTCAATGTCTGTTTTCATGGCGGACAGTGGAGAGAGAGAGAGAGAGTGGGTTTGGGTTTGGAGATTAGAGAGAGAGAGAGAGAGAGAGAGAGAGGTGGGTTTTGAGTTTGAACCAAAAATAAGCTGAAGAATGGAGCAATATATAGGGGAAGATATGAGATACGGTGCATAGATTTTTGGTAGCAAACAAAAACAATATAAAAAAGAAAAAGAAAAATACAAAAGAAATTGGGAAAATTGGAAAAGAAAACCGTTATACTCAAGACTCTCAATAGTTGGAGGCGTATAACTGAAACAACTTTGTATTTTTCATTTTCTTTTAACCTTTTATTTTTTTTATTTTTAATAGATGCGCCGCCAGATGTGCACGAAGTGTGGATTGGAGGTGGGGGCGGGGTATGATTGTCATTTTAGATCTGTATTGTCGAATACGGTTGGCAGAATTTTCAAATTGGAAGTGGGTCTTCAGAGTAAATTTAACTATATGCTAAATTGAAAAATAAATAAATAAATGTTTTAAAATGTACAGGAATCTTAGATTGATTGGGTTGGGAAGATATATATATATATATATATATATAGACACAGATGTGTCCGAATGTACGAAGTAGTTATGTGCTAAAGTCGACCCTAAACACTGTTTTAAAACCCATTTCACCATAAATTAGTTAGCATAGCATTATCCTCTCACAATATAATTTTGATTTATTTGAAAATTTATCCATAATGGTGTTTTAAACGACCAATTTGATATTATAAGAACTTCCATGTTTTCATTATGCACTCATTCTCTTGTTTTTGTCCCTTCAATTTCTTTGGGTAGTACAAGTACAAACATGAGAACGAAAAACTACGTAACAGAACTTATATATGGTACTATATGCAATACAAAATTAAAGCTATTGAACTGTATCATTGCAAGCAAAACTGCTGTTCATTTTCATAGATGCAACTGGTGCTAGTAACTGTCTAGATATTTCTCGTTTTGAGACTCGATCTAATTTTAACCAGTTATCAATTTTTTTACTAATTACGATTATATTTTACCACTTAAAATGTTTTAAAGTGTGTTTTAATTCAAATATTCGTGTGCTCTACGCCTCCCACGTCAACCCCTTTCATCCCATTTTTTGCGGTTTAATTTTTGACCCCTCCGCTTGGAAATAATTAAACAAATGTAATGGAATTGTAAAAAGAATTCAAATTACATATTCGCGTCAACTGTATAGATTTAGAAAATTGAAATATAAAAAAGCAAATAAATAGAGCATGATAAGAACTAGACATGACATGCGCAGCAGCGCAGGTGAGGCAGACATTTTGGCCGGGAGGCCTCGACAAGGGAAGCATGGCAGCCGTTATTTTCAGGTTGCGCGGTCGGACACGTGGCGGCGTTTGGCGGGACGTTGTTCGGCGAGGGCGTTTGGATGCACATGAAGTCCCATGCATGCACAGGAGGGAAAATCTTTGGTGCGACGGGCGCATGCAGCGAAACTCGTGGGATCTGATCTGATGCACCGTCTTTAGGCGAGTATGCAAAAAGAGAATGGCCTGATGATATCTCAGAGGTTCCTCGAGTTATGGTTCTCATCTGTTTTTATTGACACGTGGCGGTTGCATGCGATATCCATGAATCACCTTGACCACGACAGCTCCTACCCACGTTCCAAAGCTCCCCTGCGTATTTTGGAACTTGGAAATCAATACGCACAACAAAAAAAAGACATAACATTAATATTGTTTGTTTGATATGTATATATAAACAAAACAAAAATAAAAAGAGAAGAAAATTGCAAATCTTTAAATGTTTATATACAAAAAAAAAAAAAAAAAAAAAAAAAAAGAAAGCAAGATAACCTTTGAGACATTAACGTCAAAAATGTAGACACTGATGACTTGAACTGATCTTTCTATTCTACAGTACGAATATGTGTACTACGTACGACGTACGAACAATGAGAAATGAACAAAAGAATTAGACTGTATTTTGAGTTAAATACATCACTCGATGAGTTATTATGATCCAACAAGTGTGGTATTTTATATGTTTGTATTGAATACAAGTTCATTATGTATTTGAACCGGAGTTAAAGTATCTTTTTTAATTTATGCAATACATTAGAGGCATTTTTACATTTTAGTTTTGTGATTTTAATTTTGGCAATTTTAGATTTGTACGTTCAAGACTTGTGTGAAAATGTGTCAAACCTAACCGATATTTTAAATTCACTAAGAGCTCGAAAATCTACATTTACGCACTAAATTTTAACGGAGTCAACATTAGGGTACAAAAAATTGACAAACTTAAAATATAGGATCAAAGTGGAAAACTGTACAAATTATAGGGACCAACAATGTGATTTGGTGTCGAAAGTTATAAATTGTAAGCAAGCATGCAGTCAAAAGAAAGACCTGCGAGGGACGCAGACCCTGACTAGATTCAAGTCAATACACAATAGGTAGCGTATTTTCCTTTTATCGGTATTTTTTATTTTATTTTCTTTCTGGTTATAACTGGTACATGCATGGTGGCATCAATTAGTTTAATGTAAATTTGCCCATGGTTTGGTGATAATAAGATGGACTCCCCATGAATCCATGACCATCATTACAATTTAAATATTTGCACGTGTTGCACTAAAGTAAAGCCATGGACTCACTCACCCACTAAGCTAAGCTAGGCTATAATTTTTTATTTTTTATTTTTTATAAAAAAATTTAAAAAAAAGAAAGAAAGAAAGAAAGAAAAGATTTCATAACTTTTTCAATAACATTCAAATGTTGGCTGGATAATTTTTATTTTAATCTCCATACTTAATCAATATGCTTAGGTAAGCTTATCGGGGAGTTGGTTGATCTCTGTCAAACACTACCACAATTCTTGGGACTTAAGCTAGAAGAAAACAAGGACAAAAAAACCTTAAAAATTGCAAAATAATATTTTAATTTCGAAAAGGGGATATGTAATCTAAGCGTGAGCATAATTAGGGTTTGAATATTACAAAGTGTGAAGACTATAACAGCAAATCAAATATGCGTATACGCATCTTGTGGTCACCAGCAAACTTCAAGGAAATTTCCCATGATGGAGAATTGCACCATGGCATTCAAACCTCACTCTCTCTCTCTCTCTCTCCTCTCTCTCTCTCTCTCTCTCTCTCTCTCTATATATATATATATATATATATATATAACCGGAAGCTGACGTGGCATGCAAAGACCAGAGACGAAATTGCAGTGAAAGAAAGTAGAAAATGAGCTAAACAATACAATATTAGTAGAAAACCAGCTCATAATACAAACACTTATATTTTCTTAATGTTCCGGTCGATGATTACTATGTAATCAACATATCCCATGCAACTTGCAACTTGTACATATTTTTATGTTTCGAAAAAGAGAGACGGACACGAAATTAATTGAACGCCATATGCAAGAAAGAAAGAATCTGATCCTATAATACTATAATCGCATTATTTTTCTTAAACAAATTGATACCATATGATTATTTACGTGGTCGACTAAACAAAATGTGTAGCTAGAGAAAGGAATTGGTCGATCGTGGTCTAATCAAGCGGAGATTGCTAAGTGATTAAGATATATGCTGGGAATTTGTACAAGCCTATTGCATGGTTTTATATTTGAAGCAAATGCAAATCCATGGCATTTCGATGAAACCTATGTATTTATCTTAGGTCGTCACGAGAATATGGTTAAGGATTGAGCATGTTGTGAACATATGTTAGTGTTTTGCATTAACTTGTGTATCAGTAAATCCAAAGCCAATTAGCCGAGTCCAACATTGTTGGAAGTCTTCTCTTCATTTAACCTTTGTGCACGAACCTACATGGAAGTTTGGAGCACATGGTGTTTATACATGGAACTATATATTACGTACCATAATGAGCCATGCTTCATTTAGAAAGAAAAAGAAAAATCAGCTTTGAATAAAAAGAGTGATCTCGTAATTCTTGGTATGTAAAGATATGTTGTCAGGTGTTCCGTTATTTTCAGTCCAATATAATTCATTCGCATCAAGGGTAGTTGAGGCTTAGACACTCCAACTTTGCTTTTGAAAATCTTAAAGTTGTTGACAAATGAAAATTACTTTACATTCCTTAAAAACAAATCATTAAAGAGTGAAGAAAAAACACCTCAGTTTAAAGATTTGGATGATTTGATTACCCTAATCTTAGAAAGCAAGGTCAAATGAACAAACAAGTAAGTTAGTGGGCTAGCTGCGATGGTGAGGACCTAACCCACTTGGTTTTAAACAACTCCCAAGATGATTGGATTCGATGCTGTAATCTAACTGGGTGAAGTTCCATTTTGACTGGCTTGGGTGGGGTGGGGGGAGGCCTCAAGATTCTTGACTTTTATATTTTCATTATTATTTTTTTCCTTTTCAAAAACTTGAATCTTTGAATAATGGAAAATATGTTCAACTTCGGTCCGTGGTCCTTCAGGGAGCCCTTCTTTCTCGTGGGGTTCTTGAGGCACAAATTGATGATATATGACTCTTGCAAACTCCACTTTCTTTTGACTGCAAAAAGTTGAACAGAGGTAACTGAGAAGTTGAGTTGGGTCCTACATGTAGATTTGCTTCTTCCCATCAAATATCACTTGAAAATATTCCAAGTCACTGACTCACTGTGCTCTCACTGTGCTTGCTTGTGTTGCCTATCTTCATTGATCTATCTATCCTCTTTTGAATTTGTCTACAAAGATGGCAAAAATTATGTTGCCAAATGTCAATTATACTTCCCATAAACGAACCATATTTATGTTTTTTTAAGCCATAAATTTGAACTTCTACATGCATGCCAAAGTTTTTCGCACGATGGATCAATGAGAATTGCCTATTTTGCACAAATTCATTTGTTTGGTGTCCCCTAAAGTTGATAACGAGCGGTATGTAAACAACACAATATATTGACTTCAAATTTTATACACGACACTTGTTGAATAAATAAGTAAAACGAGGGAGAGAGTGGACCAAACAATGGGATTGGAAATATTCGAATGTCAATCAAACATACTAATTAACACAATTTCTGAGGATTAAAATGATCAATACAGATAGCTTAGCCCAGCAGGCAACACAGAGAAATATTTATGGAGGATGCTTACTTTAATGGAGGACCAACTTTACGAAATTCTAAGGCATAACCAAAGTGTGCAACTAATCAGACAAACAACAAAGCATAATCTTGACCTCATATTCTCGATTTCCTTTGTCCAGATTAGATTCGTGATGTGCAAATACTTGTTTATAATTTCAAGCACCTCATAGGCTTACACAACTTGCACATACTCAATATTCACAAACTTTATTTTCCAAAATCCAATAGTAGTCCTTCTCTCCACTGTTTCCTTTTCCAATTTTTTAACTTCCTCAAGTCTGGTTGGTGCCACACAACCCAAAAGTACCGTCTCAAAGATCTAACACCAAACTGCATGCATATGCCACCCACGTACGCATACTTACAAAAAAAAATATATGGCATATCAACTTTAATCGGGACAATATTGCATGAATCAACAGGAACGATTTGAGGGTTTTGTATTTTTATATATATCATGATCATCATAGATGATGATTACAGGAGTTGTGCTTGGCTGCATTGGAATCATATCTTGGCTTGGATTATCAAAACTAATCATGAAGGGGATATTATGCTTTTTGTTTGTTTTTTTACTAAGATACTCAGATCAACATTGTCGAACAAGTGTAATGATGCTTATTGTTTAACAACTAAACCCAAACATTTGTATTTACTTTCTTCTCCTCTTCCTCTCCTTTTGAGGTTACTATGAAATGAAATCCCATTTTCAGCCCCCACCCCCCAAAAAAGAAGAAAATACCCAAGATTTTTCTGATCATGAATCTTTGTTGGAGTGGAGGCCAACCATGCAATGAAAGGTGAATTATAGGTTCAACAGTTTTGTATTGTGTGGTGATTGTAAATCATTGTTTCACAAAGCGCCAATTACGAGGCTTACACTAAATCAGTGTTGTTAGTCGTTTATGCATGTCGATAACAGATTAGTCGTTTATGCATGTCAATGACAGAAACTGTCATTTTTTTTATTTTTTTAAAAGATTAATGATTTCATTCCTAAACAATAATTTTTGTTGTTTATGATGCTTGATGACACAAATAATTAGGTGTAATATCTGGTGCTTAAAAATACCAATTTCTGGTTGTGGAGGTAGGGGTGGACTAGAAGAAGGGGTAAAGAGTAAAGACCACGCCTAGTGGAATCTTGATTTATATATTGAAGATAGGTTTTAAGATTTCTATCTATTCTTAGACAATGGCCTGAACAAATAAAGAAAGAAAATCCAGTCTTCCATTTGTAGAGTTCATAAGAATATGATACGACGATTCACCAACCTTCTTGGCATCTTGCTGCTGTTTAAAAAACACCCACTGGCAGTATAATCCAATGAAATTTCCCATCAATTTCCACACACAAAATATACAAATTTCTAGCTTGTAGATAATTTTTATCAATATCAAAATGAACCAAGACGACCCTCCTTGGAAACATATTCATTACAAACACAAGTGATTTTTTTAAAATTTATCACAAAGACGTCTAAATTTAGTGGTACTTCACTTCCCAACATTGTAAGATGTTCAAATCATCCTTATTATTATATTTTTATAAAATAAATAAAATAGAAGAGACCTCTGAGATCCAGTTTTTAGTCTCAAATTAGCACTAAACTAGTTTGTAACCAAGGTGGTGCGCTAGTCTATTTTACTATTCAGAGAATACCTTCACGCCGTCCACAATGAAAAAGTGTACAACAATTGGATTATAATTAAACAAGTTTAAACCTTTATTAGCTGGAAATTAGCTAGAAAGAGCTGAGTTGACTACGAAGTCAAATCCAAATAAAAACAAACAAGGTCAATATCGAATGTCATTTGTGCTTAACTTTGGTTATGGAAGTTTGTTAGCACGTTCAAGTCTAGGAGGTAGGTAAAAGCCTTTTGCTAAAAGGGCAGTCACATCTTCTACTTACACTACCCCATTAATATCATACAAAGCGAAAGCGAAATGTACTAATCTGCAATTTGGCTAGTGATTGGCACTTTTTTAATCATAAATCAAAATTGTATGGTGAGAGCATATCCTTTGCCAGTTTCAACTTGTCAACCCTTGACCTTATGTTTAGTAAATCATCCCCAAAACACCTTTCATAATGGATTATATATATTTTTTAATCAAGAGGAGTTCAGCATATACCTTCAAGAGATGCTGTTAGATGATTAGAACATTGATTACTTTTTTTTTTTTTTTTTTTTTTTTTTCTTAAGAAACAGAGAGGAAAAGCCTGAAAAGAAAGTTGATACATTGTTTTTGTTTTTCTTAGTCAATTGTTGAGAGGGACAAAAACCAAAGGCCCATTTTAAAATGATGCTCTTCTTTCTGTTCTCTTCATGCTAATGGGCTTTTCATTGTCTTCCTGGTTTTGCTGTTGGCCCTTTGGAATATTTTCGAATGTCACTATTGCCAGACGGTTTCTTGCACTAAGAAGATAAGGACATTCACACATACAGAAGCAATCAAGTGCTCTAGAAAAGAGATATCAAGAGCAAATCAATGTTTTACAGCTGAAGGTGTACATAATGGTTAGTGAGACATCAAGATTCAGAGTAAAACAGACTGTTAAGTTTTGAAATGAAAAAAAAATCTTGTCCTACCTACTATCTTTCTGGCTATTGTATAGAATTTGGGTTGGCAGACTGCTGAGCCAGTTGAGAGACCCTTAGGATCAGCCCATCAATGTCGACTGGGAGAAGCAGTTTTCGCCATAGACACCCGGTGGAGATTACTTCTGGTGGTTGAACAATCGTAGTCATCTCATTGTTTCTATGCAACATTCCAAATACTGTCACAGAGCTGCCTTCTTGTACATACCTGCCAAAACTCATGCAAATCTGCAGTACATAAGCTCTTAAGAAGCTCAGGGCTAAATAAAAAAGAAATTTAACATTCTAATGTATAATTAGGTTACCCTTCCTCCAGACGTAGTAGACGGGATTCAGTCGAGAGATTTCTCTCAATTAACCATTTCCTCAAGTGAGGGGAGAGGAGTCTACAACTTTTAGTGTTGACAAGTTTGCTCTCAACGACCAGTGGAATAACTTTACAACCAGAACCAGCTTTGACAGTAGTTCTAAGACCAGACTTCTGATCGGTTAAGTAAAAGTCTGTGGAGAATCTCTGTCAGGTGGAAGGCCGAAGCAGAAGAAAAAAAATTATAATTCCAAATAGACAGATATTTTCTATTTTTCATGGTTCAAAAAATAGCATAGAGAAGCAAAAAACCAGATTTCTGGGGAAAGAGATCTGCACAGACAATATTATATATCTAGAGAAAGAAAAAAGTAGTAAGATGCATTTCGCTAGTTTATTTGAGATATCTAAAAGCATAATATACATGAAAAGTTTGATAGTAAAATGTGTTTTATTGATACTACTTAGAAATTAAATATTGAAACTGATAAGAAGTCTGAAGTCAATTATAAGCCATACACTTCTACCTTTCAACTTTTTCTACCATCCTCATATTTTTTTTTCCAATTATCAGACTATTGCAGGTACCAGGTGATGCTAAAAAAAACAGGAAAAGCAAATCCAAGCTAACAAAAGGAGCAGAGCCTGAGGCCTTCAAACCTCAGAATGTTTTAGAGCACAAACAAAATATTTAAGCATGTCCATATAAAAGAACCACAAGACAGGACAAATGAAACTCAGACAAAGCTACTAGATAGATGATAGGTAGCTCTACTCGAGAACAATGAGCAACTATGAGGTAAGATCTTTAGCCACAGGGGCTATGAGAAGAGCTAAATGCACAGCGAAAAGAAGTAATTTGGATAAAGTTGTACGTGCTACAAGGGCAAAAGGAAGTCCAGAGTTGAAGTTCAAGATAATCAGAAGGATGTGGCAGAAAACAAAACCATCAACAAAGAGAAAAATTGGATCATCATTTTGAGTACAAAGAAAGCATTCCAATCCTACTAAAGTTAATTAAATGCACAAAATGGACTCAAAGTACGAATAAATATGGAAACATAACATTATCTATCTCATGAATGCAACCAACATATTTCATCTAGTTAGAAGGACAAGAAACAGTGTTTTCACTGATCTACAAGGCTACTGAAGAACATTTGTTTGAAAGGCTACAGAAGAACATAATACCTCACAATATGCTAAATGCCACTGGAAGCATGATCTATTGACATTCACTGGCTGTAGAGTTAATCCCCTATATTCATATAAAAGAGTAGACGCATAGATACATCCGGTAGCCTTTTCATATGAAGATTCCAGGGAGAGACTCTCACATGAAGCAATCTGAAATCATCAGAATAATAAATTAGGATCAGCCCCCCAACATGTTGATGGAAATTATAACCCACCAACAGAATAAATCACATATTGACTGATGGATGAGAAACCGGAGGAAATAAGCAAGAAATAAGAAAGGTTAACCATAATGCAGTAGTCTACAAGTTTAGAGACCACCGTGTATCACATGCATTATCAGCTTGTTAAAACGTTGCGGAATTAGTTCATATGCATTATTAATGTCATTCAAGATTTCACACAACATTCTCAATTAGTTCACATGTAGAAACTAAAAGATGAAATTGCGCCATCCGTTATCAGCATATAATTGCACGAAGTTTGAATAGCTTTTTGATTGCTTGCCAAGCCTTGAATTTAGTTCAATGAGACCAAACACGTTTTCTGATTTCCACCGCTATAAAGTATTCTGAAGTAAGTTAATGAGCTTCATTTGAATTTTAGAACAATAACTGCTATTGATATTCTCTTTGTTTACCAATGCCAGAAACCCAACACAGGGCTTATTTTTTAAATTTCACATAATCTACCGTATATGCATTGATATTAAACCAATTGAAGAAAATAGTACATCATAGCACTGAAACAGAAATACTCAAGCTATCATTTTTCAGTGCCCTGCTTAGTTGCACAAAGAATCAGAAGACAGAAAAAAGATAAAAACAACAAGGCTCCCAAAATTTCCTTCGTTTTCCTCCAATTTCTCAGCAACCAGACATAAATAGGCCAAACTACATCTACAATAACACATTCCCACACGAAAACAAATCACTTCCAAATACCCAAAAACAAAAATAAACAAAAAAACAAATCAAAACAAACCTAGAACAGAAAAATTGCTAAAAGAGCTAGAAAAACAGTACCCCAGTGATCTTAACAAGCTGCCCGTGCTGAGCGAGACGAAGGTCAGACTCAGGAAGAGAGTTGAGGAACAAAAAGAATGCAGCTTTCTTCGCCCAGTGACGCTTGTTCCAGACAACGAAAGCAAAAACAAGAGCAGAGAGCACAAGGAAGGAGATGAAGAAGAGGGCGTTGCGGACCACAATGAGGATGAAGATGGAGACCGAGAGGCCCAAGAAGAAGATGGGTACAAGAATGTAGAGGACCAGAGAAGGTATGGGCTTGAAGGCGCTGCTTTGGTGGTCTATCAGAGCTGCATTTGAGAGGTCGTTCATTACGACTATGGGCTGCTATGGCGTGTGCTCTTTCGCTAAAGCACCCACCTTTACTGAACCAGTAGCAGCAACAGCAGCACGGAGCGTGATAAGGAAGGAGGGAGTGTAGCCAAGTGCCCGAGCGTTGAAACGCAATGCCGTTTGGACACTTCGCACGCGTACGGTGCAGTTTTAGATCGAAGAGCCTATTGGCCAGTCCTGCGTTGACTTAAATGACTTTCACATGAAACGACGCCGCCTGGTACGTGTACGGATGTCGTGTTTCTAACAAGCCAAAAACGGGTAATAAGGATTAGGGGCTTCTATAACTCAACTCTTTAAGAGCATTCACACTTTGCACTCGAGATTTCGAGTATTCCAACTTAAATTGCTTTCATCTGTCGGGAAAATTTTGAGATTAATTTTAGGTTTCGCTTTGTTTCAATGTAGTCTTTAATTATGTCATTATGGTATGAGAAAAAAGTAGTATAAAGTATCATGATTTATGCAATTCTTGATTGTGTTGCACTTTGGATACTTTGATGCCACCCCTCACTAAGTTAAATTATATGTTAATGTATTTATTTATTGGATTTTGGCTTTAACAGTTAATTAACATTAGAAGTTGATGTTTGCTCAAGTGCAGTGTAAAACTTGTGAGTGTGTGTGTGTAAATGGGCAAATTGGCAACAGAAATAGAACAAATTCACATATGTTAGAGGCTACATCAAAGTGTTCAGGGTTCAATGTTGAGCAGCTAGCATATATACCAACACCTACAAAACTCTAGTTGAGATTTGAATGCAGAAATATGTGCGTGTGTGTGCGGCTTTGGGGCCTATACATGGGCACACATTGCTCATTCAAATCCTTGAAAGCCTTGCCTTCGCCGCTGTGGCTCTACCTCTCCCACATGATCCCCATAATTTTTTTAGTCTCAGTCCTCGTTCAGATGCATTTGTAGGGTTTCTCAAAATCTAATGTGATTGGTGATGAATTGACACGCATGCCTTCTCTCTCTCTCTCGCTCTCTTGACTCCAATTAAGATGTACACATTAATTTTTCTGTTTTTCAAGACCAGAAATCCCACCACTGATAATCACTGCTAATTGACTCGTCAAAGAAACCCTCAGAATTCAATCTGCCCCAGTCCTCGGTTGATGTCAAGGACCCATCTGCAGATTCAACCAAGCTCACAAGGTTTGGTTCATCTTCAAGCCCAAAATACTCTGCCTTTATGCTGCTGTCATCATCTGACAAAACCCCACGCCCTCCTTGCTCTGATTTTTCAAGTGACAGATGATTAAGCTTTACCTGATCAGATTCAGACCTAGCTGCATCTCCATTGTCTGATTCACCACAGCTCTGCCTCTCCTCCTCTGGCCTTTCCCTCATCAGATCATTCAGCTTCTGCAACTGTGACAAAAACACAAGACATATCTAATCAGATATTTTGGTTCTGTTAATTAATACTAATATTGTATTTAACCCTATTAACAAAACAGAATGAACAATCAATTGGTTAATTAATTACCTGAATAACCAAGGCCTGCTTTTCTTTCTTCAAAGCTTCAAACTTTGATGCCAAGTTGTTGTAATTGGCTCTGAGTATGCTGTAGTCTCTTTCAAGCTGCTTGGACTTCCACCTAGCTCTCTTGTTCTGAAACCAAATTGCAACCTGTCTTGGCTGCAAACCCAGCTCCTTGGCCAATTGCATCTTCTTCCTTGGCTCAAGCCTTGACTCAGACTCAAATAAAGACTCCAATGACCTAATCTGTTCATCACTGAATCTCTTCTTGTTTTTGCTGTTCTTCCTCTTCACACTGCCAGCAGCTTCAAGTGAGCTCATGCAGCTAAAACCCTCATGATCATCTTCTGCTGTGGGGCTTGAATATTCAATTTGGTCTAACATCATCTTTGATGGGATCTTCAAAGATTAATCAGCAGAAGTACTAATCGGGTCTTCAATTTTGGTGATGGTTGTTCGGGTAGGGAATGTTTTGGGAGTGTGTGCCTTCTTCTTGATATGCATGAATGGATTTGGCTCAAAAGCTAGCTTATGTGTGTTTATGTCATGGTTTTTGGTCTGTGTACTTCTGATTGCTTCTTTATATCCAAAATCTATGGGCCTCTGATAGCGTATAGTGATTTTTCTCAGTGCATTAATAATTAAATAATTTTACCCTTTTTTTCCTTCTTCTTTTAACTTATTCATAATCCATATATTATTTGTGAATTAGGCTCTAGCTAGCTTAGGGTTATAGCCGAGCTGACTTGTTTATTTATTATCTTCATCTTGTGTGGTTTAATGCAGCATATTTTTGGTGATTTGTATATTCTTTTAAGATGTAATTTTAAAATGCCTACGTCTTTGTCATTGTGTAAACCATCGTACATCTTGCGTCTTCTCCTAATTAGCTATGTAGACTGTCGGCAATATGAACGTGTATCACGTTCTAATTCATTGAGCCATCCGTCCTTGTTGATTTTATAATGTTACATAAATTCTTCCATGTTTGGTTTTGGTGTCTTATACTCCTAGCCCTAGGAGTAATCGATAGCTTATATATACATGGAGATATACCAATACTATGAGGTGCGGGACGCAATAGTGAATTCATGTGTTTTTCTTCTTCTTCGGGTAAGATGAAGTCCGTACGCCACCTTATCTAGTTATTTTTTACTTTGTATTTTGTCTCGGTCTCTTTTAGCTATTTTATCAAACATCTTGTCTATGTCACAGTCAATTTAATTGTAAAAGAGCATAAAAGAGCATTTGTCAATTTAATTGTAACAATAAAATTGGTTTGGTGTAATTTGTATAATCTCGCCTCACCTATGTATTAGTGGCTAGACACAAGTTTCTATAACATCGGCTACTCAATTACTAAAGAGTAGGGACACCAACATTTTCATACATAACTTCAACAAAGTGCTCAAATCTCTTATGAAGAAGAAAAGAAAAAAAACACGAAAAGTATAGTGGTAGTAATGCATACTTTAATTGGGCATTTTAACATGTTATTATATTGTTAGACTATCAATAAGACCATATTCAATTATGTACTTAATTAACGATTTGTTTACCATCAAATCATATAAAATATCAAGCCGTCTTATAAAAGAAATACCATAATCACGTTTATCACGCCAAGTTTATGGGATCAAAAAATTAATGAGCAATAGCCAATAGGTCTCCATCATTAAAACCAAGTTCCTACTTAATGATTCAATAAACCCTAATTGCACCAAGGCTTCGGCTCAAGCAAGAGCAAAGCCATTAACAAATTCGACTCAAGCCATGAAATTTTTTTGATGAAGTCACTTTCGGAACGTGTCCAATTTTGATTCTCCTTCCCATACGATCAATTTACAGACCCCATCTCAACGTTAAAAAAATCGCAGAGGATATTGTTTTAAACCAATGAACTTAGTTGCATCTCGACAGGTACCTGTCACCTGTCTTCCATCATCCAATCATCTCTCGCCACCTGCTCCCGGTCAAAACTTTGGTATCCCATTTTCTCTGGAGTTTTGGTGATGGCTCGTTGACGTGGCAGAGATCTGACGGTTGTATGCCGAAAGCTCGATTTATAAAATCGACACGTGCCCTTGTCTTTGTACTGATTTCAAGCCAACTTAGAGTCGTGTATGTGGGGACAACTATTTCAGGTTGTCTGTCGTGCAGTCTGGCTTGCCACGTGGTCATTTTGCCCTTCCTCCTAATAACTCTTCCGAGACCACAACATAATGTTGGTGCTTTTTAATTAGCAAAAGAAATCTTGGTTCCTTTTTAAACAAGATTATTAAGATTTCTTAAGAGAGAATACTATGAAAACAATTTCTTAGCAATGTTCTAGCATTTTATGTGATGATGTCCGTGCTTGTTTTCATATTTGAATGTAATCGACAGTTTAACAACATAACATATTGATGTTTGTTTTTTTATGTCAAATAATTCAATTGTACATGGTGGAGACTTGGAAATTCATACTGATGATTACGAAATTGTATAAGTTGGAGGAATTCATTAAAATACTGTGTGGGCCTTGCCTTGATGTAGGGTAAAGGAAATGTCCCCACGTTTCTTCCATGGTGTTGTTTATCTTTAGAGTTATTATTATTTTTAATATTTGAAATGTTTTGTTGACTATATTTTCCCTTATTCAACTGTGTTTAGGCAACAATTGTTCGACGGAGATTGGATGCTGAATTTTTTTAATTACAATATTGTCATAGCTAGGCAGGAGGATCTTACTCGTTATCATATCAAAGGAAAGAAAAGTATGAACACTTTACTTTGTCCAAAGACATAGACTCATCACCATGAAGTCGTGAAATTAAATATAGTACAAATTAATCGGAAAGAAAAAGAGAGATGGTAAGTGATGAAGATAGTGTGTGAAAATGACACACGCTGTTGTTTTATTTGTACTAGGCATACTCATGGTCCTTGTTGCTTGCTTAGCATTAGAATGTGAGCATTTTACTTAAAAATCGACTGATAACGAATGGCGATGATTAACTTTTATTTCTCGTGTGTAATATATAATACTCTCGTATTGAGATTATGTTGTGATATTATAATAGAATGTGAATGTCTAACGCAAATTAATTAACAATGAATGGAAAGATTCATGATCATCTTTTAAACCAATAATATTAATGCAATGCTTGTATTTTCTGATGCGGATTAATGCTCTCAGCATGTAGCATTCTTTCCCTGGGGTAAGTTTAGAGCAAAGGAAAACGAGCAGAGGAGACCAAGACATTTAGCTGGTCCTCATGTTATACGAAAGGACAATGGTGTGAAGAAGCGAGCGCTTTTTCTTCATGCCACATTAGCAAAATAATGATTCAGTACTTGCAAAGCAACGTGGCGTCACAAGAGCGCAACACGGTGCACCTTGTTGGATCAAGCAGGTCTATTTTATTTTGGCATGTTGGCATCAAGAGGTTGGAGCATGAAGGGATTGAATTGCAGTCACAGTCATTGTGTCTGTCGCATATGGGAACCAAGGTTGGTGAAACAGTACTGTGAATGCATGTCAAATTCCAAAGAAGGTGGTGGATGGAGTTGGTTAATTTCTGGAAGCCATGAAATTAAATGGACCTAGAAATGAGTGGTTCTGTTTGATGACAATTTGTAGCCAACAGAAAGACGAATGCATATAAGTTAGGGGCAAAGTTGTTATTAGCATTGGATATGACTTTGGAAAATTAGTGCAAAGAAGAAACTACTCACTGTTTTTTATTACTAATCCAACTTGTGAGAGTTGTCTTATATTGTCTTATAATTTGGCTTTCTAGAACTTTGAACTAAACATTGATCTAAAGTATCACCAAGGAATGGAATCAAAATATAAATAGAGTCCACGAGATAGTTTGAGAGTAAAAGACATCGGTGATTCTCATTAGGCCAATTAACTTTTGATGCACAATTCTCTTGTCTGCATAATTGGAGATAATGGTGCACTATACTCATTGACATGGAAGTTTCACTTCGGAGAGGAATTTTGGTGTCAAGCAATTTCTCTCCCTCTCTTAAAATGGTTGGTCATACGAGGAGTAAGATAGTCACAAGGTGCATTGCACCCGTGACAAGGAATTCTTGTGTCTATTTCACTCCTCATGTAAGTGTACAAATGTGCATTCACTATTAAAAAAAAGGGCTCAAAAGGCACTGAGTGGTATCAGTCTCTTTTGCCTTCTTTAGGGACTGAAAACAGTGCATATTGTAGTATTAGAGACTGTTATATATTATGGCAGTCCTCTATTGATAATATGTCACTGAATATAAAAATCAGTGCCTAATATTTGTAATGGGTCCCACATTTTTGTAATACCCAATACACGTTCATGTATTCTATTAAGGAACTACATCCATGCCTAATGCATTCCCTAGGAACTGAAGGTGTATCAGTCCCTAATGATCATTCCTTTTAGTTAATACACATTTATCTCTTTTCAGACGCCCCATAGTATCATACCCATTACAATACTTAGACCCACTAAAGGAAACAAAGAAGTTGTAAATAAAAATAGGCCAACTTGCTATTGAGGCAATTTAACGAGAATCATCATTTAGAAGCAACTCATAAAGTAGCACTAGTACAGATGCATGATGGGGTGACTAAAGGAAACAAAGCATTGTTTTGCAAATGAAAAAGGGTTGAAAGCTATATATGAGAAAATATAATGATTTGTGAATCTACAACATTGAAAATAATTACAAGGGTTCCTCAAAGAACTAGTGACTCACATCTGCCATCCAGATATATACAGCAGGGTCTTCCTCCATTCGCATAATCTGCCACTGGTCGCTAAGTTTATGTGTCTCCTGCAGAAAGTAGCGACCATCCGTCCAAAGCCGAGCTTCATTCTTTGTTATAAGTGCCAAACCTGAACAAGATTCCAAACACAACTCAGTGTGACAATATGCTTCAAAATTCACTTCACAGATTTCTAGTAGTGATTGTTTGTACCCAGAACATGGAAGTTCTTCCCGAGTCAATGTTGAAAAGCCCCAAAATGAACTACTGGGCCTGAAGACCTGAAGATGATAGTTGGGCAGGAAGACTCGACAATACTTGTATGAACCACCAAGCCCATAAACTTTATACAAAATGGAACCACCAAGCCCAAATACATCCTTGCATTTCATGCACTGAGAAGGTTTTCCACCATCAAATTAAATTATGGTAAATGTAGTTTTGGATATGAATTTTTCATTGACTCTCTTCAACATCAATACCAGGCTACCAGCTACTCTCTGCAGTCACCATCATGGTCCACACAGTGATAGCTCTGTGGCCATTAATTCAAAGGAATTCAAAATCTTAATTTACTCTTTTTTTTTCTTTTTTTTTGCATGCCAAAGGAATCCAAAAGATGAAGAGCATGCAGTCAGTTTGTTGTTTGATCTCTACTCTTTAGCGATTGATTAATTAATATATATATATATATATGTTAGTGATTAGTACAAAGTACGAGTGTATATATATATATTATATATAATTTTTTTCTCGATCCAGCCACCAAATTGACTTAAGTGCCAAAAAGCTTTCTCAAAAGCCCTCTCAACCTTTTCCTCCTTTTCAACCACTCCTACTCCCCCCCTACCTTTCTCTTTCACACAGTCACACTGAGTCGCACAGAGCCACACAGAGTTACAGTGTGCCACAGACACAGCACGTGACAAGCATATGGCTTATCTATGGAGGAAGCTCCAGGTGGGTTGTGTGATCACCTGTCCTTTTTACATATACATATACATATATATGTACATTTTCAAGTTTTTATATTATAATCGAAATTAACAATATGGTGAGGGGGAATATTAGTATTAGTATAGGGTTTAGGGTTTTATATAGAATTTTGAAATGGAAATGGACAACCTGGCTTGAGATAGGGGGATTTGACATTTACGTGTTGTTTCTTTCTTGCTGAGCCTTTTCTTCTCTCTCTCTCTCTCTCTCAGTCACAGCTGCTTCTTAATTTACACAACTTTCAAGGCTTGTAAGAGCGTTGAAATCTGGAGCCAGTATCGTCCTCTCCGTTTGTCACTCTGATATGGATATGTATGTACAACAAATACACAACCCCATTCAACATTGAAACAAAGAAAGAGAGAGAGAGAGAGAGAGAGAGGACATAAAAGAGGCTTAGGGTTTAGGGTTGAGCTTAATTTGGTGGTGAAGTTGTGCATACTAGGCATGGCAGCACATCTTCCGGGCACCCTCTTTTAGATAAAACAAGGAGATGATCAGGATTCCAATTCTCGATTGTACTAATTAACTATATAACAATAATAATGTAATTGATTAACAAAGCTGAAAGCAATGTCCTGTACTGTACTTGTGTTTTTAACTTTGAATTATTTTGCAAGGATAATAAAACTGAAATTTGGGCATAGACCTATGACCTAATCTAATACACTAATGGGGTAGGTAGGGTTTCCATTGACTTACATTAAAAGCCTCCTTATATTATATGCAATTGTTTCTCTAGCTATAGGTTTATGATTGAAAGTAATTGTCCACCTAAAATTATGAGAAAAAGCCATAATACATGGCTTGAAGATGAACACGTGTGTTTAATTCAAAACTTTTACCCCAACAAGGCTGCATTTTACTGTTGAAAACTCATCTTGTGAGTCAAGTAGTTGTCCCCCAATTACATATTATTAATGCAATTATTACAACACAAAGCTCTTCAACTATTTGTGACATGAAAATTTACTTGTTTTTATTACAAGTCCAACTTCTGCAAACCCAAGTTTTTGTTTTCTTTTCCCATAGCTAGCAGCAATGTCAAATGTGCCACAGTGTATGGTCTATTGGCTGCAAACACGCAGTACTTTTTGGCAGCCTCAAGTAAGACAGAAGAAAGGGTTCATAAATTAACCTAGCTACCCATCATTCCATCTCATCAATACAATACAAAATATATATATATAATGCTTCTGATTTACCACCCCCTCAAAACCCTAGGTAAAAATATACTCGTTTGACAACCCTCTTCTCATTTCCTCTTGAATGTTTGAATGGTTTTGATTGTGACAGTAGAAAGGTAAAAAAATGTAAGCTAGATAGATGGGGTGAAAGCTAAAACGGGATCGCTCGCAAGGGAAAGGGGAATGGGAATGGGAAAGGGAAGGGAAGGGACCCAGAAAAGTCGCCGAGGAATTGGGGGTTGGAAAGGTAAAAGGCTAAAAATGCCCGAAAGGCAAAGTGAAAATGAGAGAAGGGGACGCCTCTGCCCCATCTGTCGGTCATCGCCTCGAATTCCTCGCCCTGAGCCTGAGCTCTAAAGTGACACGCCAGCCGAGGGCCCCTCTTATTTCTTTATTTTTCACTTCATCAAAATAAAAGATTTAATGGATTTCACATAAAAGTGACAAAAGTATTAAATGGGGTTTCCATTATCGGGCCGCTCAATCACTCAACCACTCCTCTGACTCCCTTCATAGCCCCTCTCTTTGTTTTGATTCCCTTTTTCCTCTATATATGTAAATAAATAAATAATTTTATTATTATTTTGGTGTACTTTTTGATCATTGTACAATGATAGGATCCTACGGTCCAAGATGGGTCTTTGATCTCTAGGGTACACACAGAATTCTTATAAGTCTAAGTAGACTATTCACTATTATTATGTTCGATGACACAATCAAAGCATCATGCTCAAAATCAAATGGTGTGAGAGAGTTTTTCACTTTCTGGGGTACTAATTCTTATGGTCAAGGGTTGTACGAGGTGTTTACATCGATCAACGGTCATCTGCCAAATCGGACGGTCGATATACATCGTATCAGTTTCATCCATCTAATCTAACCCTAATAATATACTAATATACATATATATGTTTTCTTTTTCATGTAATTAAATATTTGTGACTGTGTGTGACTCTGGTTAAACACAGTAAACAGAGAGAGAGAGAGAGAGAGAGAGAGAGGGTGCATGGGGTCGTGGTCATTTCTGGAAGTGAGAGAGAACACAGCTGGTAGGGTCGAGTCTGCACCAATGTTTTTGTCCTTTTATATCGCCTTTATGACTCTTGCTATTATAAATTTATAAGTTTATATCTCTCTCACCCCTCAACCCCATACCATAGTTACCATACACCCCCCCATGATCATTATTCGTTCACATTCATCATTCTCATCCCCCCCCCTCTCTCTCTCTCTCTCTCTCTAACCCCCCTTGAAGATAGGCGAGACTCTTGGGGGTCAGAGAGATAAAAGAGATCAGAGAAAGCACACATAGTCCACATATATATAGAGACACACATGATCGTCAAAATCATGGATTTTGAAGAAGAGGATAGATAGATATGTGAAGCTTTAGCTTTTGAGGGGAATGTTGTCTGGCTCGAGGACACTTTTCCTTGATCTGTATTTCTTATAGATCAACCTGTATATTTATATCTAGGTATACATATATATGGCTTTTGGTGAATTAGTGTCGTCGGACCAGGCTTCATTCCCCCCAATTTATGGCTTCCATTGACCTGTTGTTTTTCCACGGCAGAGGGCGTAATTCTTCACAGTCTTAGAGGTTTGCCTTCTGTTTTATTTTTATGTTTTAGATGATTTGCTATTTTGGGTTCTTTTTTTGTTTTGTTTTGTTTCTGGGGTTATTTATTGGCAGTTTAAAATCATGGGTTTTTGTTTTTAGATCAATTAAGGTTGTTAGTTTTGTGCAGATTGGTGTAATGATGGAGTATTTGACTATTTTTGCCCCTTTTTCAGTTTCATAGACTGCATAAAAAGGTTCATCATTGCTCTCCCTTTTCATTTATTTGTTTCGTTGTTCATGATCATAAAATTATGATGATGTTGTTTTGTCAGTCTAAGGCTCTAAGCGCTTTTTCCGCTTCATCATTATCCAGATTTACCTCATGATGCCTTCCAGTATCTGATCTGTCTGTTTCTGCCATTTTTCAGATCTGGCTTTTTTGGCTTTCTATTTAAACTTTGGTAAACATTCTCTCTTCTTTCTCACGTTCTAACTCTCTCTCTCTCTCTCTCTCTCTCTCTCTCTCTCTCTCTCTCTCTCTTAGGGTTTCGTAGGTCTAGATTTAGGCTATTATCTAAATGAATCTTTTAGAAAATAGCATAAGCCTTTGCTTAGGAGAACAAGCAAGGAAGTGACACCCTTTCTGACATTGCTTGAAATGCCTATTTTCATTTGTCAACAGTTTCTATTGCTCTCAGTCAGTAATCCTTTTCTCAGAGTGTTGATTAATAATAATGTTTAAAGATACACATATATGTATATATGATTGCTGTATTTCATTATTTTGCAGATCAGTTAATTATATTCTTGTTACTTTTGTTTATATGCCATGATGCTTCAGAGTTACCTTTCTTTTGGTCTTGATGATAATGTCCTTGCTGACATCTCTTTATAACTTGAACTTTGCTTCTTTCAAAATGTGATGAGCATATGACATGTACATTGCAGCACAAAGGACAACTATAACTTTGGGAAAGCGTGTGTGTCTGGTTGTCCAAAAGGAAGCCTGGTCACTTGCCTTTCCTTTGGTATCTTCTCAGTGGATATACCTATTGAAACCCTAATCTTGTTCATCTTGGATTTGCTGTGAAAGGCTTTGTGATTCTCAAAGCTATTAGTCACTCACATTGTCTTTTCCCCTCCTGACTTTTTGTCCCTTCATTATGGTTTTATTTGACTCACTGTGCTAGCTAGCTCAGAGTCAAGGGGCTTAGAACACAGCCATTGCTGAAAACTAAAGGTATTGAAAATGCATATGCTAAACAAGAACAAGGAGCACTGTGGAGGTAATCTAGATGCCCCAAACAAGTTACAAACTACTAATTTGATCAAGTTCTTCTTAGAACTTTCTTAAGCTTAAGAGTTTAAGAATTCCCTTTGTACAATCCCAGAGTTCAATTCTTCTTGAAGTCCATGTAATCTAGTGTTTTGTTGTCTCTCCCTTATTATTATTTTTTTTTGGTTACATTGGAGTTCGGACTGGGTGCCATCATGCCACCACCACCATAGTGGGAACCATATCTCCCTTCTTTACAAACTATACATGTATTCTTCAAGGCTACTGATTAATCCCAGATTTCAATTTCTTCTCAATTATTCTAGTGTTTTTTGTTATCTACATTCTTTAATTTCCTTCTTAGTTTTGATAACAAGGTTTTGGAACAAGTGTTGTCTTGGCCTCTAAGAACTTATAGTAATTAACATTCCTTATTCTAATTAATGTAAGCTCTCTTTCTGTCTCTCTCAAGCCCACACACACACATTTAGATCAGCACATTCATCTTCAGATATTGCTTGATATTTATACATACAAGTGGTCTTCTTGTCTCTTTCTAGTTTTTTCACACTATTATTTTCCATGTCACATAACCCTGATTGCAAGAAAAGTCAATGTACGAAAAGCAGCTGGTTTGGAATCAAGGAAGAAATCTCATTTGCTAGCAATCAAACTCTTCCCCCTTGTGCTTTGATTTTTTCACTAATGTGGTAATTAAATCTAATTTCCTTGTTTAAATTGGAAGATGTGGGCACTCATGTTTTTTGTTTTTACCTCGTGCTTTTGTCCTCCTCTTCTTTAACCCCTCTTTAATTCATTGTTGTTAATATACAAAAGTTCCTTTTGGGAAATTGAATTTTTTTGACCTTTGCAAACATAAAAGTAAAAACTTTATTGCTTTGTTTGTGCCCATAATTTTCCACACACACAGAAAGAGAAAGAGAAAGAGAAAGAGAAAGGGGTAGGGATAGAGATAGAGATAGAGAGAAGAAAGATAGCTTTGGTCATGAATGGTGAACTCCAAGAAAAGCTTTTTGTGCATGGCCACAACTTTCAATGAATAATTGGTGTGATTGTTCCCACTTGACAAAGACTCTATTAATTAACTTAATTTAAACCCTTTTGAGGAGGACTTTGGATAATTGTTCTTGTAGCTAGCTAGCTAGCTATAGCTGTTAGATAGATGCATGGGAAATTTGAGCTACTTGGTCCTAGCAGATGGGAAGTTGTGGACCTCCTTTCCTTATAGCTCCATACGTAGGCACTGTGCAATTGTTTGAAGCCTATAGTAGACTACTGTAGGATCCAAGGCAACTTAAGTTGGTTCCACTTTGAACTTATTCCCTCATTAATTGGCAGGATTGACTAATAAGAATTGTGCTTTGTGCTTTCAGCTGCTGAGATTTCATTTGTTTCATTAATTCTTGTTGAGTTTTCATCTGTTCATTTCCCTTCATCTTTTTTTTTTTTTTTTTTTTTTTTTTTTTTTTTTTTTTTTTTTTTAAGCTAAGCAACCACTTTATATTGAAATGAGATCAAAATCAAGTAGTACAAATTAAAGGGAGCAGAAATGCTTGTCACTGCAGACTCACAGGGTAGTAGTGCTTCAGTAGGCAGCGAGGAGGGCATATGCTTACTGGGAAGAAATACATTAATCTAAGATACAATCACTTAGAATGATTTATATTAATCTGAGCCCTTGATCAAATCGAGTGGAGACAACTATATCATCAATGTATTCATGTTAGTCGAATCTAAGACCTCCTCCAGTTATGTAGAGACAACTACCACTAAACTAAACACTAGTTGGTGTTTCTTTTCGGGATTGATATTGTGATGATCAATCAGTGGCTTGATTTGGCTAGGTAGAGTTCATATACAAATGAAAATATCTATAAGTTCTTTATTTTTAGTTTACTTCCTTTACAAAAGAGTAAGGCGGAAGTCAAAACTATTGCTGTGGAGATGAGGGGTAAATCAATGCTCTAACACCCACCAAAGTCAGTACTGGTTGCAAACTGTATACCCTTATGAGGCTACTGGTAATTTGAACTTTAAATGTTTGGGCTACCGGTGCGCTGTTAATTAAGAACAGCGGCCAGCCCTTTGTAATTGGATCTTTAGGCCTAATTCCGCCAAAATTGTGCCTGTGTTCTTTCACACTCTAGGTTAAAATATGGCTATTTTTTTATTTGTCATTCACTAGGGAGGGGGAGGGGGCATAATTATATTGTGTTGTCTTAGGATTGTCTTCTACGTGAATCAAATCCTGGTGCACTTGGAGGGAGGGAGAGAGTTTGGCCTACTTTTCCACTATGGTGCCACCCCATGTGCTTTAAAATTCAGCTATTAGCAAGAGCTTAATTTATGCTGTCATCTTCATTTTGGCCTCCTACCTAGACAACAAAATCTTCATTTTTAAAGCATGTTTTTCCAATAGCATGAGGTAGGTCGCACACTTGTTTCACACACTTCAACCATAACATCCTTTTTTCTAATCTTCTTCTTTGGTTCTTTTTATTATTATTATTTTTTTCTTCCATCTATTGGGTTTCAAATGAATGTCTTATTGATTAATCAAACACTAAATGCCTTATTACTTTGCCAAATTAATATTCATTTGTTAATAAGTGGGATTTCCAATTGGACCCAACAAGTCCCAAAACTCCACGGATCGAGCTCAAACTAAACCTTTAGGCTCAGACAAATGGGTCAAGCTAAGTTTGGGCTTGTAGGGCAATGCAAGGTCCAAATAATAATGTAATTATTGTTGGCAATAATATTTTTGCGTTTGGCTCCAAATATAATTTGGTTGGTTCAAATTAGAGAAGACCGATTCTCCACTAGGTAGCTAGCTAGTAGTAGTGCCAAGCAGGTGGAAATGGAACAGATCCATGTATAAGCTGCCTGCTTCAATGCATTGACCTCAATGATACAATATAATAATTATTTGAGGGTCAAAGGAAATTATGTTTCACGAAAGATATTCAGAGACAAAGCAACCTCCCCCACTCCAGCAATAAAATGGAGAATAACATGTCAATTACATCTTCTTTTCTCTTTTGCTTTCTTCAAAAAAGCAACACTGAATCTGATGGCTCACTCCCCCACTTTGGCTGGTTTTTTTTTATTTCTTCCATCCCCACTTTCTTGACTTTGCATCTTGCTAATCTATACCATATATTTTAGATTTCTCCTTGCTCATTTAGTTTAACAAACATAATCATGTATAGTATGTAATTGTACATAAGTTGGAAGAACATAACTTAGTGGGTAGTTCTACGACACCTTTTAATAATTTGGTACATATTATATATATATAATTAATTTAGTGTACTTTTTATATATATATAGAATTGTATGGTTCTTTTAATGCTAATTGACTTGTGTATAACTTAGTGGATACAATTTATACAGAAAAGAAAAGAAAAAATGCTTTAAGTGGGTAGCATATTTTGTGACTTTTTAAATTCGATCATCGCTTATCGACGGTATATATAGTCTAGTGTAAAAGGGTCTTGATTTGCAGATTAGTGGTCTCAAGTTCGAACCCCTAAGGCACTTTGGCAGTGTGTGTGAGAAATTCTCCTCCCCACTGTGGTCTTAGGTTCAAATTATAAACTATAACTCTCTTAGAAAAAGAATTAATAATTGATCCACGACCTCATATTCTTAGAAATATTCTAACAGAGATTTGTGAGTATTTCTCCTGAATCATTTTTCCTTTTCAGTACTACTTTCTTTTGTTCCGAAAATATTGTGAGAGCTTAGCGTTGAAATATTCAAGAATGAAGAATTTTGGTATGTAGGGAGTATATATCTTGCACATCAAAACATGCACTTGATGAGACAACCACAAAAAATATCTAAATTTTGAATTGAGCCAAGTTGTGGAGACGACTTATGAGTATTGCCTGGTAAGACTTCTGTAGGCTGTTTGAAGGTAGAACCAACTGGAGAAAAGAGTGAGGACCATATATAATATTATGCGGTATACAGCGCACACACACTCCATGGAAAGTGAAGTCCAGCAACACATATGCATACATCTAATTCTAAACCAAAGAAAGGTTGGGGCCTACTGGGGAAAAAAAAAAGGTATATATTTTTTAGAGCCGAAAGAGAGGACGACCAGTTTTTGTCATTCTTGTCCCCGATTTTATTATTCGACCAGTTATTGGAAGTAGATTTCCTATGAGAGGGTTTTGTGTTGTGTCCTGTGTGTGTCCTTGAACATATGTATATGTCAACATGGACATGTTCGAGAGCTGCCATTGGATGTTCCCAGAATTTGCCTTCCTGTAGACGACACCCCTCACTGTCGGTTTCTACTTGGGTGCTTCAAAACCCTAACTCCACCCACCCACGTGTCTCTGCCTTCTTCCACTCACTGTCTACGTGTTTTAACTCCTCACACAATATCCGAATTATTCCTCTCCTTTCCAAAATCAAATCACAACAGAACAATTTTGGTTACTTCTGGCTAACTCTTATTGGTGTAGTTTTTTATTCATCTCTTCAGTGTTAAATCAAATGACGTGTATGAAAAAACTATGAATTGGGGAAATCAAAATATGAAAGAGAATGAATGTGATCAGCTACTACTAATAAATATAATTCCCAAATTTTCAGATATTATAATGTGAAATTTACATAATTTTCTTTTATGTACGTGTCCGTAAACAAAAAAAATAAACACAAAACAGTTATAACATAAAAATTCTAACATCCTTTAGTCAAATCCCTTCTTTTCCAAAATCGTTTGTATCATCCGTAACATAATTTAGAATCATATTATAAGCAAAGAATCTAGGTCCCTTTTAAATCAAACGCCAACCAAACCAACTTGTGTGAAGGACTAGAAACCCCATGTCACATACGTTACAACTCCCCACTTTCTTATCTGATTGTTCTCAAAGATGAGGATGATATCATCGTCAATTGATCATCAATCAAGGGTCAAAGAAGCCCACTTTGATTGAAAATCACGAAACCCTGGTTGCACACCAAATAAAGCCCACTTGATTTTTCTTGGGCTGGCTTGGCTCTCTCTCTCTAACACACTCACACACACACACTCTCTCTCTCTCTTGCTATATATCTCATTTATTTTCTGGTTGGTATGCGTTTTGCACTAGGAGTGTAGTTTATCAACGATGACCAACGTACCAAGGTCTCTGAGTTACTCTTCTCTAACCCTTTTCAAGAAAGCCATAGCTGCCTCAGATCCTTGGCCGTTTTCCTTCGTTTTCTTCTAAGATTTTCTCTAGGAGAAGATCAAAAGGGGACTAGGGTTAGGTTTGTTTTTGTATTCCATCTTTTATTGCCTTTGTTTGCTGGTTTCTTTTCAGATATGGGCAGTGGAGAGAAGAGTCTAAGAAATTTCCATCTGCACCTGCCTCACCTTCACCATCATCACCATAGTCATCATGGTGGGAAGAAACAAGGGATCAGAGATGTTCCAAAAGGGTGCTTGGCAATCAAGGTGGGCCAGGGTGAAGAGCAGCAGAGATTTGTGGTGCCTGTGATTTACTGCAATCACCCACTCTTCATTCAGCTCTTGAAGGAGGCTGAGGAGGAGTATGGCTTTGATCAGAAGGGCACCATCACCATCCCTTGCCACGTGGAGGAGTTTAGGTACGTCCAAGGCATGATTGATAGGGAGAAGTCCCTCCACCACCCTCACCACCACCACCATCATCATGTTGTTGGGTGCTTTAGGGTTTGATTATCAATCAAAGATTGTGGCTTTTCCCTGTAAATTTGGAGTCTTTTTTTTTCCTTAGTTTTTGTTTGTTGGTCCTTGTTAGTTGGAAGATGATGGCAAAGATGATGTGATGATGATGAAAAAAAGATAAAGATGAATGTGGCTTGCAATTGTAGTCACTTTGTTATTGTTAGGAATCAAAATGATGATAAAGAGAAAATCAAAATGCTTTTCTCTTTTCTTTTATATAAAACTACTTTTCCCTTTCTCTATATCTATTATTCTTTTTTTTTTTTTTTTTTTTTTTTTTTTTTTTTTTTGGGTGTTTTTTTTTTGTGATAAGGGTATCATTGGTACAACTTTGAGAGGGAGAGAATTGACAAGGCCAAAGGATGGTAGGGTCAAATGCTCAAGGCCATTGCTTTAAGCCATAAATTGCTATGGCAATTGTATCTCTCTCAATCTCAACATTATATCATTATAGCTATATTTGATAGAAACTTCTCTTTACCAAGAAAGTGGTATTTAAAAAAGGAAATAAGCAAATGGAAAAGGCAGAAATATCTGAAATTTCTCAGTTCCTTTCTTATTTAAGAGGTAGGCAATATACAATTCATATTGAGGAGTTTTAATAAATAGAAATAATTTATTTTTTGAGATATTATATGAATGACTGAGATATCCCAACAGAATTCTATGGAAACTGGAAACACTAGTAGTGATGGGCCATAATGGAACATAGAGTGTGGACCATTCTCTCTGTGCTGCACACTGCTCATCACATCACTGAAAACTCTTTGGAATTGTGAGTGTATATCACTTCCCATTTCCTTTTTATTTTTTAAAACTAAATTTAAATAAAAAAAATTTGGTTCCAAACTTTCAAGTAACTTGTTTTTCATACAAGCGATATTAAGACAGGGAAGAATCGAACTTAACACCTCGAATTCAGCACTCGAGCTACAAACTTCCAAGTATTCGATGAAGTGACGTTGTTAATTATTGTATGGATTGGACCGCATTAAATTGAGTCAGTCTGGAAAGACTCAAGTGTATACAAAGAACGAACCAGAGAGAGGGAGAGAGGGAGAGAGGGAGAGAGGGAGAGAGGGCTGTGGGTGCATGACATCCGCGTTTAATTTGAGTCAAAGTTTGTCTGTAGATGCCAAGGCTCTTTGCATGTTTAGTCCCTGTGTCGTTCAACAGAGGAGCCAAACAAAATCAGTTTCGACCTTTTTCAGATGGTATTAATTGTTATAGGGTCATTAATTTAATTTAATTCAATTAGCACCAAAATTATGACACAGCTTGGAAGTTAATGAAAGGCATAAAGCATGCAATCAAGGCCTCTGTGGGGTTTTCAGTTGTCAGATTCCAAATTAATTAATTAATTAATTAATGGCTACGTGTAATATATAAATAATAAATAAAATAAAATATATATATATATACAAGTGAGTTACACAAGCATGCTCGATGGGTAGGGGTCTGTTGAAGTTAGCATGTCTTTCGAGTTTTTGTTTTTTTGTTTTTATATTAAATAGTTTTGTTATGTTAGTGATAATGACAGTAGCTGAACTGATAATATATTTTCAAATTAACAATGCATTATCCAACTTATTATTTATTAATTTAACTGATTAAGATTTGTATGTATTGTCTCTTAGCAAGTTTAGGACTTTACCTCACCCGATTGATTTTTACAATCTGTACGTACGGAATGTGTTTGCGATAACATAGACCTATAGTTAAACTATGTTTATCGCATAGTTTTGGAATAAAATTATAAATGTTTTTGTTTTCTAAACAATGCGATATTCTAAACTGCTCTAATGTGCGGTGATGGATATCAAACTCTTGTGTCATGTACAGTAATGCGCAAATTCAGTAAATCGTTTTGCATTGACAATGCTGATAAGTACCTATATACTCGTTTCACCCGAAAGAAAAAAGGTATCTATATATCGCACAAAGAATTATACTTTGATAATCCTTTAATTTTCCAAAAGATAAAGAAACTCATACTAATCTTCACTCAAAAGGATTATTCTAATTCTAATTATCGGGTGATAATATAACTGGTTTGATATGCCTATATGTATACTCCCACAAACTTCACATTCATCACGATTCATTCACTCGTAGCTTTCACTCGAAATCACTCAATCATTTCTCACTTGAGTGTCTGAGATTTAATTTGCAAAGATGGTGAAGAGTGGAGTTGCTGTGTTTTTACTTCTTTTGGGTTTAGCTTTGACACAATGCATGGCTACTGATGATGCCAAATCTCCATCACCACCCACCCCAGCCCACTTCATGGTGGCACCCTGACCCTAAGCTTATAAAGTGCATGGGAGATTACCGTGCTGCTGCTGGAACTTGTTACCATGAGGTCTGTGCGTCGTTCTGGACCCGAAAAGTCGCCATTCAAGAAGATTGTTGCAAGGCCATTGTACAACTTGATGGAGATTGTGCCTCAGCTGTGTTCGGCAGGTTCAACAACCCTTTCTTCCAGCTTTTGTTGAAGGAACATTGCTCAAACAAAGGAGGATCATCGGCACCGGCACCACCAGAGGCAACCCCATCACCTCCAAAAGCATAAGATGTCTAGTTGAGTCTTAGATTAGGCTTTCTTTGAGTACAAAATTAGTCAAAATAATAAGTACTCTTTTTTACTTTTTAGTTAGTTTTTTGCCCTGGGAGTAAACAATCACTCAGGTGTAGCTAGTATTCTCCATTGTGGCATGTTTAAGTGAAATATTTTAATATTCTTAATAAAAATTAATTCTGTTTAGTTATTTGTTCTTTTTTTATTTGCTCATGATCTTATACTAGTACTGCTTCATGATTCATGACTTGATATACCTAAATCCTGTCATCAACGACTTTTATTACTTATTTTTTACTAAGATATCTTGAACGATTTGACGTGATCAAAATTGCTTCGTTGGTTAAAAAATAATTGTTTGTATCCAGAAACCAGTAATTCTGAAATATATAGCCATACCACTTATTTCTTTTTTAATAGTATTTAAATTAGGTCAATGGAATGAATATGAATTATCCTCAATTGTGTATAATAACATGTCTATCTCTTTTATCATGTGAGGTGGTGGACGGTGAAAGACTAACTATGCTGAAAGATAGTGAGAGAGGGAGAGTCCGGTAGGTTTAATTAGTCAAGTTTTTCAGTTGGTGCTAAGACTCTGCATCGTTGGTTCCTGTGTCGTTCCATAGAAGACCCAAACAAAAATGCAGTTTCGACCTTTTCAGATGCTATTAGTTATAATATATGCTAAGGATATCTTTTATGAACCACCAAGAATGATATGCTCTATGATTAATTTTTTAATGCTATATATAATATATATACATGTTACATAAGAGTGGTTGATGAGTAGGGATTCCGTTTGGATTAGGAGTGGGTTTTTGTGTTTTTTTTTTTTTTTTTTTTTTTTTTTTTTTTTTTTTTTTTTTACCTTTACCTTTAAGTAAGTTTTTGTTACTCGTGTTAATGACAGTTGAATCGATAATAATCCACAAAAGATTACCTTTAGCATAAATAAATAAATAAACAACTTAAGAATTCTATCTAAACTTAGACTTTCATTTCAACTATGATTGACGATTTGCTCCTAAAGCTCAAATTAATCTTCACTTAATTAACTGCAATCTTTTGCTGGAAATGATCGATTTGGATACTTCCACAAACTGCACAATCTCTCACTCACTCACTCAATCACTCATATCCTTCACTTGAGTTTCTGATTTAGCAAACCAAAGATGATGATGAAGAGAGGAGCTCTTGTGCTCTTCTTTCTCTTTTCTTTAGCTTTGACACCAAGTTTTGCTGCTTCTGATGCCAAAGGTCCTGCACTACCCTCGCCATCCAAAGGCTCCCCATGGTGACACCCTGACCCTAGCAAGCTTCAAAAGTGCATTGGAGCTTACCGCACTGCTCCAGGAACGTGCTACCGTGAGATTCTCGTATCTTTTTGGATACGGAAGGTTGCCATTGCGGAAGATTGCTGTAAGGCCATTGTAGAAGCTGATGATGATTGTGCCTCTACTGTGTTCAGCCAGTTCAACAACCACTTCTTCCAGATGTTGTTGAAGCAACAGTGCTCGAACAAGGAAGGCCACGCCAGTACCATCGCCACCAAAGGCAACACCGGCACCAGCTCCACCGAAAGCAACACCATCACCACCAAAGTCATAAGATTTCTAGTTGAGTCTTAGATTAGGGTTATTTTAGTGTTCTTTTGGTATTTTATTAACATTAATTAAACTTTATTTAAATCTTTAGGTGGTGGCTGTGGTTGGGTTATTTAAGACTTCCTCCTAACACCGACCCTTAAGATAATAAAACTTCAACTATTGCTTGCAAAGTTGCAATGCAAAGGTCAACTAGCATGCGCAGCCAGCAGATTCTCCAGTTAATCCCACCCTTCGGGTCTGGGAACACCACGTAGCATTTACCAAAAAAATAAAAAAATTTGAATGTCTAATTTAAAAGTCGAGCAGAGAGACACGTATGAAAAGACACAAAAAGTCATCCACAGGCTGCTGCATGAAATATTAGTAAAATGAATCAACATGATTGAATTGAGGATACGGTTGGACCAAATGCAATGCACGCTTGAAAAGGGAGACCAGAATATATATCATCTGCAAAAATCATATATTAAATCTTCGTTTTATAACCAATTAGCAGGCTTATAATCTGCCATTTGGGTTTTCTTTAATGGGTCAATTGTCAACTATCTGCAAACTTAGGGAATGAGCAAGGAGAAACTCATCAACTTTTTTTCAAAAAAATATTGGCTCGAAATTCCCAACCGGCTTGACTAACATGTTCATTTATACACATTTTTCTTTACCCCACCCCCCCAAAAGGAAACAAAAATAAAATTCCCACAAATCATCTGAAAACCCATGAATCTTATAAGAAACTATATGTCGAAAGGCTAAAAAGAAATAGAAGAAAGAAAGGAAAAAAAAATGAATAAAACTAATGGTGTCTGGTGTTGGAGCTACGGACCGTCACACCATGCAAAAATTTTGTATATCCAAGGAAACTAAGCTTTCCATCTGCGTTTCTGATCCAATCTCTGAGGACAGAGTAGGCAGAAGGGCCAAGATTTAATTCCTGCAGTGACAGGGTAAATGCGATTTGAGATCAAATCAGAAATGCAACAGAACTCAGCTGCAGAAAAAAACATAAAAGGACTTCCATGATAATGAGAGAGGTAGAATTGGACATACTCTGGCCAATTCTTCGATTGATATGACTCGGTTACCCTCGCGTTCAAAATGCTCAAAAGCGGTAGAGGCTATCTGCTCCCAACCTTCAAGGGCCTCCAATTGATGCGTACTGATTGCGGCTGCACAAAATTCTTCGAAGTCCATCGCTCTATAAGCAAGTGGCTCCATCTGAAGTCAAATACAGCATGGAATTGAGAAACTGCTACTGAATTCAGAATAATATATAAACAAAGAAAGAAAAGATTGAGCCCGGAATCTTCTTGAAAATGGGAAGATCTAGGATAGGCGGCCAACCAAAAACTCATATTAGAAAGACAATTGTTTTTTGTTTATAGGGAAAGGCAGAGTTTGTAAGAATTTGGCCAAAGGAAAGTGACCTTCTGTTGCATTTCCTAAATTGAAAGGACCTCAAAAATAGAAATGACTTACAGCATTTAGTATATCAACAACCCTCGACTCCCTCATCGCCTCAGTTGAATTTCTTTGAAGAGCCTGCAAAATTCAATCTTCTAAGCATAAAATGACTTTCTTACAAATAAAAAGAACAAAGGGAAAAACACAAGTCCCTCTTCAAAATATATCTCGCTTGTACAGTCAAATTAAAAGCATTAGGAGTAGGAAATAACCGTTTTGAAATTAAGAAGAGAGACACGTTCATCGTTATCTGGTTCCAAAAGCATGAATTGGGCTCTAAGATATATCAGCTCATCCTCTGTCAGGGCTTTCGAAAGAGACTGCAATTACAACATGAAAAAACAGAAACACAATTTTGAGATCCATCACAAAGGAATCTCAATCCTTACTTGTTGCAATATAATAGACATTAATCTAGTAGCATACAGTTGAAAATGATTTTTCATACTTGCCCCGTGAAAAGTAAAAGATATGGCACATTAATAATCACACAACCTTAGACACAGGAAATTAAAAAGGAAAAAGAAGACAAAAGGGGATAAAAAGTCACGTAATTTACTTGGATTTAGCTACATGGAGAAAATTAGAGGAAATTAGAATTTTGCCAATTTTGTTTCTATGAGCCAACAGTCTCCAAATCTTGCCTACTTTATAGAGGGAGTTTAAGAGACAAAACTAGAATTTTTCCCTTTTCTTTTCTCTTCCATTTAGAAATAGGAACCAAACAATGGAAAGGAATAGGGGAATTTAATAAAACTAAACATTGATTACATGGGCAATATCATCCTTCATGTAATCAAAGATTATCATGAAAAAGTTGAAGATACATTCTCAATTATCATAAATAAATAAAAATGAAAAATTACTCTAACAGGAATTAATCATTGAGTAAAAACCAAAAGTTGAAGTTTTGGCATTCAAGAGCAGAGACGACCAATTTAAATATACTACTAATAATAATCAGGTGATATCCAAAATCTATTAAAATGAAAAATGCAACGGGTGAAGCTAGCAAGAACCATATTTGGAAATTATAATAATACCTTAAGTGTTGCACGTTTGAAGGGCGTAGCATGGAGATATGATTTGACCAATTTGTAGATCAATATATCTAAAGGAAGGGGACGACTATCATTTCGCAACCATGGGTGAGCTGCCAATTATGAGTGATTATTAGCTTTAAATATCAAATCGAAAACATCAATTATCATCACTTCCAAATAAGAATGCCAAAGTAAAATCAAGTTCTGATTTGGCAAACAGTATTCAGTTTAATGTCACTCATGCTTGTAATTTGTAAATAAATATTTTGGGGCATCCAACTAACAATCAATAAAGTTATGTAGCTGGAGATGTTTGGGATGATTCTATCACCATCTTTTTTGAGAGGAATGAATAAAGCTAGTTCAGCATATGACACAATATAGGTGGACATTTAGTTCAAATATGATGGACCGACTAAATGGCAATCTCCCACCCACTCCCTAATATAATTTTTATTTTCTTTCAGAATGTGGGAGGAAAAGACATAAAACCACCCATGCATCATTAAGCGCAAAGCATATCATCTAAAATTTCCACCAATTGGCTAATCTCTTAGGTACTTTAGACAGCAATAGAAAGAAATTTGCTTACCTAAAGCCTGGACAGCAGTCATTCTTTTCCTGTAGTCCTTATTCAAAAGCCTTCTTACGAAGTCCTTGGCCTCTAGAGACATAGAAGGCCAGGGTAAATCATCAAAACTCGGATCGGCTCTTAGCACTGCACGGAAAATTCCAGATTCCGTTCGTGCCCAGAAAGGTCGGCTTCCGCATAGCAGGATATAAGTGATAACACCAATGCTCCATATATCTCCCTCAAGGCTATAAGATCTATGGAGGACTTCAGGTGCAACATAGTATGCACTTCCAACAATATCATTAAGTCTTTCCTCTGCACATATATGCATAAACGGATCAATAACAAAGAAAAGATTTCCTCAAATAATCTAGTAAGTACCAACGAATAAAGTCCGAAACAGCTCTAGTGGTCAAAAGGGCAAAAAGTATATTGAAATTGGACAATTGAAAATGTACTGTGCATGTTGTCCACTGCTGTTCTCATAATATTATGGCATTTTTTGGTGCGAATAATCAAATTTAGTTTGTCTTAAAAAAGCTTGAAAAACAAAACAAATGCTTTAGTTTTCAAGAGAGGTTAGATCAGATAATTCATGTTGCATAGAATTGGATTGGACTTGACACAAATGTAATGTCATCCATAGGTTTAACCTTGAGTTGATAACTATCATCAAATTTATCAAATGCGGTCTAAGATTGACTGCCAAGTCATGGCACGATGTTCCATTTAATTGAAACATCAAATACTCAGGAAAATCCGAACGTTGTCCCTTTGAAAAGGAAAACCAAGTGGTACCTTGAAACTGCAGCTCTAATATATTTATTAAATCAAGGAGAATATTCAACTTCAACTAACGAGAGAGTAGCAATGATCATCAAAAGTTACCTGGTCTGATAAAGTCAGAAAGACCAAAATCAATAAGCTTCATATCAGCATCTTCACTTCTAGAAGCGAAAAGGAAATTCTGTTAAGCAGGAAAGAGAGAGAAAATATTTAGCACTAAGTTTGGAGGTAGAAACAGATATGAGATCGTAATTAACTGAAGCACATATAGGTTGAAAATCGAAACCTCTGGCTTTAAGTCACGGTGCACAACGCCTTGAAGATGACAAAATGCAACAACACTTAAGATCTGCACAACTATATGTTTTGCATCTTCCTCCGCATATCTTCCACCTCTGCAATTAAGGTGAGTTTTTCAACACAATTCAGCTATGCAATGAAATGACTAATAATTAAATACTGGCCAAGAAAATACCTAGATAAAATTCTGTCAAGAAGTTCCCCACCTTCACACAATCTGGTAAGAGAACACAAATCCACATATGTCATACCCAAAGAGCAGGAGAAATATGGCATATGATGCCTCAACCAGAAAATTTATATACTTCATCATTCAACAATCATGTATGCAACACCAACCTAGCTGACTATTTTCACTTAAATAAATAATATTTAAAAGGAAAGTATCAGTCAACATTACAAAACATAGATAACATAAAGAACGCCTGACCCTCCAAATAAAAAGGATGAATAGAAAACAAGGTATACATACTCCATGACTATGTAAACATTATTGGCGTCTTCACATGCATCATAAAATTTTACAAGATGCTTATGCCCAGATAGAGCTTTCAATATCTTCACCTCTCTACGAACATCTTCAATCGATATTGCTGTCGTCATCTGCCAAATGAATTTGGTAAGAAATAAATACTATGCATTTAAATTGGGTAATCGATATTTGCAAAGTTTCACACCATTACAGTTAAAGAAATTTGAGACCTACAGAAAAAAGGAAAAGGAATATGAGGAAGGATGACAATTGTCCAAATCACTTGTACACAGGTGTTATCGTACTTCCCCAAAAGTACTCCCATACAGATTGTAGACTAGATACATTTCCAGCTGTAAATTGCAGCTTCTGACATTGTAATAGATCATAATACTATCCCAATTATAAATTACCAATTTTGACATATGTAAGTAGATATCTGGGTAAATGAAAGGGCAAGTTGAGTTCTGAGGTGAGTTAGATGCAAATAACTAAATTTGAAAAGTAAAAACAGTTTACGCTCATAATGCATGCAAAACCTACGATGTATGACACTTCATTCAAGACCTAGGATGTATGACACTGAGGAACAACCAAATGTACTTTTGACTAGTCATTTCAGAAACTTAAACAATTCTTATTCATTGACGTCTGAGCCGAACACATCATCTTCATGCTGCATATCCCACATCATTGTGGGATACTGCAAACAGATCAGCCCTTATCTTTTCTTCTTCAGTAAGAAATTAATATTCAGTATCTAGTTCATAAATTCTGTTTAACCAGAAGAATTACCATCAATGTGGTTTCTCTATATATGCATTTTATATGGTTCTTTTCTTCTTCTCCATGCATTACATTTCCACAGCTATTTCGTTCCTTTTCCATTTCTTATTAAATCGCAATTGACACCACCTAATATGAACTCAAAAGTGGTTCCCCTAAGACATAGCCATTCCAATCCCTATACGTTTCCCACTACAGTTTCGACATGATAATAATGGAATATCTTCTACATAAAGATAACACATTAAGTTCCCACTATACCATAATTTATATATAAACAGAATTTGCATTTCAGAAACAACAATTACTAAAAAACCAATGAAAGGAATATACAATTAATAGCATAGCTCGATTGTACCTTGGCTTTGGAAATGATCTTAACAGCCACAGGCTGGTCCTTGAGCTCGCCCTTTTTGCCTCTACCAGAGCAAGTATGACCAAAATGCCCTCGCCCCACCTCCTTCCCTAGCTCATACTTAGCTCCAAAATTCTTCCCATACCCGAAACTCTTGTCCAGCAACTGTTCCGGTTCAACTCCGTGCTCCTCGGGAATCGGGCTCTCCTTGGGCTTACCGAACCGCTTGGCTAGAGACGCCTTTATATGCTTCGCCGGAGAAGGAGGCGCAAACCTCCGCCGGAAAAACCTCCCCGGAGTCGACGACCTCGCCGGTGACGGCGATACTCCCGCTGGCAAGGGGCTAGCCGATACGCCGTGCGGGTAGGGGCTTGGCCACGGGCTAGGGTTCGACGACCGGGCCGGCGTGTTTTTCACGCTGACGACGCCGTTCTGCGGTGTACTTTGAGGTTGGTGCACGGAGGTTGTGATGGTGGTTACGGTGGTGGCGACGGTGGTTACGGTGGTTGCGTTCGGCTCATTTTCAGTCGTCGGAATAGTCTTGCCGTAGCACTGGCCCATCGTCGAAGCTCACTCCGGCGGTGTATCGGATCACAAGCCCAAGTCAAAGTCCGCACATCTGACGGCCCGTGTCGAATCTGAGTCGACTCTCGCCGGCGAGAGACGACAAAATGAGAAAATGAGGAAATGAGAAATTTGAGATCTACGGCGAGAAAACGATAAACCAAGAGAATGAAAGAGAATTTGAGTCAGGAGAGAAAGAGAGAGAGAAAGCAAGAAAGGAAGCGAGGGACTGAGACAGAATGAGTAGGGGCCTTCTCTGTTGAGACACAAGGATCCAAGTGATGGGAGATTATAAGCTACTCCCCTCCATACAAAGAAACGAAATCTTCGACAGATTCTGGACCGTCAGATTTGAATAATCACACATGGATGGTCAAAATCAGAGTTTGAAAATAATTGCTTCCCCTGGACGAAGCATTTGAGAATGAACGGTTGGATTTAGCATGTTAGTATACGTTCTACGTGCTCTATAATGTACGCTAGTTTTCTCACTTCTTGTGCTTCTGTGTGCAACTCCTTTTGATTTGTCTCTTGCTTCTTTGTTTGCCTTTTTTGTAATATTTAAATTCAAAAAGGGCTTTTCGGGAAAGAGAGGAGCAATATTCTGTGCGGTTTGGTGTACGGTGTTTTTAATGGACCTGCTCAGCTTTGACTAGTTAATGATGGTGGGTGATTAAATTTACCCCGTTTTGACAGGTGGCAGGCTAGTGAGGTATCTAGGAGAATTGTCGTTGAAGGTATGCGTAGCAGGAGATAAAAAATTTGGAAGCGGATTTGAGTGAGTCAGAGCTGACGAACATGCACAGCCTGGTCCGAAGGTTCGAAATAGGTGGCGATCCGGTGGGAGACGGAAGAAATGTGAATGCGCTGTGCCCCTTTTTCTGCCGTTGATCATCGCCTTCAGTTAGTTGACTTTGATTAACTTCATTAGAGTACATCACTGTAGAGTGTAGAGATAATTATGCGGTAGCTCTAGAGGCGAGGAAAAAAAAAAGGGATAATTAAGCAAGTTTAATGTAATGAAAATTGCAAACCGGCCTAACCTAGTTGAAAAGGATCTTAACTTGCATATTAGAAGTTTCAGGTTGGAATCCAAACTTGTTAGAGTTTGGAAATTACAATCCAACAATTTGTTTACAATACTAGTTATATTCAGGTTAATTAAATTATTGAGAAAATGGCACTGGTGTCCTTGTGATTATATTTATATTTCTTCTTCAACTTCTGATTCTTTCGAGTTTGTCAAATCCTATAATCCCATTGACCAAAATAAAATTCCTATCATCTTAAATTTAAATTTAAAATAAACCCATATAAACCCCATGTTGTTTTTAATCTATATTAAGTCAAGGTCATTTTATTAGTGGTATTGAGTCTTTATTTTGTTAGATAAGGCTATTAGTTCATATCTCATAAGTACAAGAGTTTGGTATAAATAAATGTGGACTACAAATATTGTCGAATTCTAAAGAAACTATGTATTATATTTTGGTTGAATCACAAGTTTTATTTTTAGGTAATACTTTGTGGGTTGGACTGGACTGAATCATTTCAATTAAAGTGAATGAGAATCTTGATCGTTGTTTGATGAACTTATAAATGTTGAGACTAGATTCATTGAATTAAACAACAATTCAAAATGCCCAACATATTATATTTTACAAATTTCATCTAGAGTGGTGAGACAGATAAAGATTCTCTTAGGCATAATTATCCTTGTTGTATAACTCAAACAATTAGAATAAGGGTTGCAAAACATGAACATGTCAACTTTCCACTTACTCCCACTGGCCGCAATATCTTTGTCTAAGAAGACGTTAAGCAAAACTTGTGGTGATGGGATGAACAACCCTCTTATTGCATCAAATGATTTGACTTGCTCCAAAGGCTTATATACAAAAGGACAGTATTTTTAGACCGACTATTTTATCCAAAACGCCATTGAGTACACCATGAGAAGACCTTGGAGGTTCAAAACCACAAGCCAACAAATAATTAGAGCACAAGCAAATAGCTTTAGTAATGTCATTAGAAAACCTACCCTTGTGGCTGTATTATATAATTAGACTCCAATACGAGAATATATTAGGTATCTATATGATTTACTAACTGCATTACGCTACCCAAAAGTACCTTTTCAAACAACATAAAATTTCACAACAACCAATCACATATTGCATACATTTTTTGAAATTAGGGTCGACCTTGAGATTCTAGAAGTCCCAAATGAACCCTCGAGCTGAGACTCCTCCGACCTACATGTATTTTACATGGACAAAGAAAAAGTCAATTTACTTCCAAAATTTTGTTTCTGTTATATCTTCGAAAAATGAAGACCATAATTTCAAATAATCAACAATTTTATATATTTAGGAAGCATTGCCATGGATCACGTTGACTTATTCTATCGATCAACAATTCAGGATAACTACAATGCCTTTAAAATTTAATACGATGTCCGACCACATGACTTAGAAGTTAGAGGGATATCGTGGATGTTGTAAAATACTAACTACATTTAATTACGTCAATAGTATTGTATATATTTATATGGATACAAAATAGGACAAAAAAAAGTGAGGGACAGAGATGTTTTATATTGTTTTTTTTTGTTGGGAAACTTTTTATTTATTTATTTATTATAGTATAAACGATAGTCTAAATTATAAAGGGAGAAAGGTTTCTCACAATGTCATGGGATTTGAACCTGAGATCATTAGTTTGCAATTAAGGTCATTTTCTATTAGGCTAGACCCTGTTGAAAAAAGATACTTTATTGAAAGTCTTGAGTACGTATGTGATTTGACCAAATAAAGAGTGCTATGTGATTTGACCAAAAAAAACAAAAGAGTATATATGTGATTCGACCAAAAAGAAGAGCATGTATGTTTTTTATATATTGATAAAAAATATATATATTTGAATACAAGTGATAGTCTAATCTAATAGGATGAGGGGGATTTCTCATACAAACACATTACCAAGGTGTTATAAAGGTTCAAACTGAAGATAACTTAAGATAACATATATTAATACTATTACAAGTTTCAACTCGAAACTATGAACCCTTACCTCACAACTAATTTCGTTGAATTCAAAAGGCCTAGTGCTTGGGCAGGAAAAGAGGTTGGTATGTATAGAAGCAAAAGGCTTTAAGGCTACCAAAAATAAAAAATCACCCCACAATGAATCAAGGTTGGCTTCCCCAACTCATCCGGTTGTTTCGTTTAAAAAACAATTAAGCGATTTTCCATATTGCTTTATGCATGTCAAAGGTGCCATAAATTTAACAATAAATGGGAAAACTTTGAATATAGAGAAATTTGAAAGAAAAATAACTTCTAATTAAAATGATTTAAAGATGTTATATTTTGATATTAAATGGTATATATCAATGTGTTGGATAAAAATAATAGCAAATGGTGAGGATCAATAAAAACTTGCCAAATGCTTAAATAAATACATAATTTGAGTTGGTTCAATTCAATTTTTATTGTTGTCAGAGTTAAGAAGGAGAGGGGGGAATTCATATACAAGGATACCATAAGGGATTGAACCTATGACCACTTGGGAGCACACCAATGCCTCGTTTGATGGCCCATATAGGACATGATTGGATTTAGCTTTTTATTTTCGATTGGACTGGTTGAGACTGGACCAGACTTTGAGTATGTTGTTTGATGTTATACCTACTTTGGACTAGACTAGATAACGTAATAATTTTGGAAATTTTGGAAAACATAATGGCAAAACATAAGGGAAAAAAGAAGTTAAATTGAAACAAAAGAAAACATCGATTGTATGAAGCTATGACTTGAAAGATTCACCACAAGAAAATCTGAACATTTTCGAAAGAAGAAATCAACCCCAGATCATGAATAGCCATGGCACACCACACAAACACAACATGAATTTATATATATAAAGCAAAAGACAAAGAATGGTGAAACATTCAAAATACCAGAAAATGTCATTGGTTAATCCAAACATTAAGAATTAAAATTATTAATTAAATGAGGATAATATGGTAAATTCACACTTTTTTATATTAAAAAAATTAAAATTAAAAGAAAATTCATATAATGAATCCTATTTTTATGGAACGCAACTACCATATCGTGAGCTTAAACAAGACCAAAACGACACCCACATTTCCCAAAACCAAATCCTATTTGTACCCAAACAACAATATGAGATCAGAACGAAAATCCCAGATCACAAAAATAATGACAAAAAAACAAAAATAATAAGAGAGAATAAGATGAAAAAGGCAAATACCAAGATATTGCAAGATTGAATTTGACAGAATCAAAGAATTTGGGCTTATTATCACAAAACATCCTTGACGTTTGCGAAACCATCAGATTGCATCCTTAAAGTTTTTTTGTATCACTCATGGTCCCTAACGTTAATATAGGTGCTCTTAAATAGTTCGTCCGTTAAAATCGTTAAATCCCTAATTTTATGAGGGGTATAATTTTCAACTCCCTTTTACCTCTCATGCTTCAAATATATTTCCTCGTGGTCATCGTCAACATCAACAAACCCATTTCTACATTTTTTATGAGAAATAGGGCTTTTCAATCGTGGGAAATTGGGTTGTAAAGCTTATGCAAAAGTGTCTGAGATAAGATGGATGAGGCAAATGAGCGTTGGGAAACCGAGACCAAACCTACATTTGTGCACTTAGGGGTCTTGACCAGGTGTAGAATCTCCATATCCAAGCAATTGGAGATGACAGTGAGGCCTACGTCACTGTCACTGACCTGAAGCTTTTCTAGATGGATCTCAACCATGAAGGTGACTTGCTCTGCTATCACCTGGAGAAGCTTGTCCCAATCGCCAGAGCACCTGAAAAGCTTCAGAGTCCTCAGATTCTTCTTTTTTCTCTGTTTTTTTGCTTTTGGGCTTTATTCGTCGAGTGTAATAAAATAACACAGGGATTTTTGTGGCACTAGTAGTTCTGGGAATTGGGTTTTACTGCCAACGTCTAATGCACTAATTCTTAATTAATTTTTGTTTCTTTTTTTGTTGTTTTTTGGTGTTGCAGAGTACAAATCATAGTAGTAAAGAAGATTCAGAGCTCAGACTGAAACGACAAGTCGTCGGCAAGTGTGATCGCAGTATGCTTTTAGCCACGACGACGACATGCCGGCAGATCGCAGAAGGATCTTCGTTGGCCTCCATCGGGCAGATTGCAGCCGTTGATTTGGGCTTGGAACGATGGCTGTCATGGCAAAACTTCTCGGCAAAAGTGTTTGGAAGTGATTTTTTATGGAAGTCATGTATGAGTTAATGTGATGGAATTGAACGTGGTTGATGATATAATTGAATGTAGTTAAATGTGTTAGTTTATTCAATTTGTTCAATGTGTGTTGTTTACAGTTTAATTTGTTTATGTTATTCCCTTCCATTTTCACCCCTTACCTTTAGCAATTCCAACAAGAAACGGAGGGAAATGGTTCCAATATGGAGGCAAACGGGTCTAAGTCATTGAAGATGTCAAAAGGATTGATTTGACGATTATACCTCTAGATTTAACAGTTTTTTTAACATATGGACTATTTAAGAGCACTCATATTAACGTCAGGGACCATGAGTGATACAAAAAAACTTTAAGGATGCAATCTGAAAGTTTCGCAAACTTCAGGGACGTTTTGTGATAATAAGCCATGAATTTGAGATGGCAGGAGAAAGGAGAAGGGAGAGAGAGAGAGGAGAGAGACGAAGGCAAAACCATAGAACATATGATGTGAAGAAGGTTGAAGGAGATGACGAGGTGCTCACGTTCGCAAAGATGAAGAGGAGCTCTTGTTCGTTGTAAACCCACGTCTGGGATTGGGTTCCAGAGTCGTAGTTATTTGGGACTTGACTCCAATGTCCAATATCCAGTCTGTGATACAATTAAGCTTATTAAACAACAGATTGGATTTATGTTTATTTTAAGAGTGCTGCTAAATGAACTCTAAAATTAACTGAGTGCATCATACTATCAAATTATTTATTGAATTACTAATTTACCCTAATATAAAATGACCAAAAAAGATATATTGAATTGTGAAACAAATATAATTTTAATAAATACACCATACTCACCATATCTAACCCTAATCAAATGTAGAGAAGTTTTCGTTTTTGCTTGATACCGACGGCAAACAACACAATGAGCATTGGCGGTAGTGCAAAGAGGTGTCATTGAATGTTTGTTCACTTGCCCCTTCCTTTGCCAACCAACAGCCCTCCATTGCTGCCCAACAACTCCTCCTTTAGACATGAAGGTTAAAGAAATTATTAAGAGACCAAATCTGGAAGTGGAAGACCATCTAACTATTCATAGCAATCATTGAAGATATTAGTTGGATCTAAAGTTCAAATATAAGAAGGCATCTGGGAATTAGTTTTCAAGTTTACATTTGAATCAAGTTTGCAGTAGCTATTAGACCCATATGGCGTGTTGTCGAATCAGTTTTGAACAAATTCGTTATTTGAAGACTAAATCAAAAACCCATTAAGATGAGGGGAAAAAAAAAGGAATTTGCAGAACAAATAAAAACCCAAATTTGTTCAAATTGACACATTTTAATGAGAAGAACAAAAGCATTAGAAGAAATTAAAATATGACGTGGCAAATTAGATGTGATATAGTGTATTAGGGTGTACCAAAGATATTTTTGGTAGTTAAATAGGGCGTACTTAGTTAATTTTACATTTTGATTTAAATGTTATGGTGTACTTAGATTATAGGGTGTACTCAGTTAATTTTAGGGTTCGTTTAGCATCACTTTTATTTTAATTGAATATATCCAATTCAATTTAGCCCATCAAATATAACCCAAAAATTTGGGCCAATCTAACTACTATTTAACTAATAGTTGCTTCGATTCAATTCAAGATTATTAATTTAGTATAAAAAATAACCAAACTGCTCCAATAAATTTTGTTTGACCGGCCTAAATGGTCGGATGGTTTTCTCGGCTACTCCCTGACCAGTCGAGATAAATCCTCGCTTATGTGGTTTTTTCTTTGGGTTGGGTCAATACTTGCTTATGTGATTTTGGTTCAAAATTTTGGGGCAATAGTTGGGTCCAAAATTAACTTGGTCTTGGATTTCAAAACTTGGGCTTCTATCAACCCAGTTTAAGTTGTACGGTTTAAAAGCAGTTGATCCATTAGGAAGATAAGTCTAATTAATGGCAGACCAGTTACAAATTGATCATGTCATATGGCTTATTGCTGGTCAAAATAACTTCAGTCTTCTTGTTCATCAGTCAGCGATCAAATTGGGCTACTTGCCCAGAAAATCCTAACATTAACATATGCCAGTAGGTCGCCCCTTCCTTCGAATTGAGCTCAATTGCATGGTGAAACATAGACTATGATATCAATTGTTGAGAATTTATAATAGAATTTGTCCGTAAAAGTTAACTTTTAAGGGAAGGATGCCCAAGAACTTTTAAACCACTTTAGGATATATTATTTTTCCAATGCGGGATCTTTGAGTCCTAAAATTTATACTGTTTCCATCGTCAAAATACGTTGTTGAGTAACCCTTAAAGAACATGTGCATTTTTTTATTTTTAAAATCTCATCCATGCATAGTGAAGATTATGATAAAGCAACAACCTAACCATATTTTTCCTTACATGCATTTGAATATAAGAAGAAACTTATAACTTAAAAAATCCACAAATATATGAAAGAATGAGTTGAATTAATTTCTAATTATCTTAAGGTTGAATTAATATAGAGGACGATTAGTTAAGAAAGATCATTCGAGTTGTTGTGGTTCAATTGAGATAAGCCATTACACAAACTTTCACCTAATTGCTCATATGAATAATATATGACCTTACAAATTACGTCAGCCCTCAGTGGAGGCTCATACTCGATCAGATTCTTTGAGTAGCTTGAAAGCAACGCAGCAACGCACACACAACACGGCAGGACCAGAAATATAATATATGCTTCTTCTTCATCACTTCCTTTTCATTCCTTTCTTTATGTACTGTTTCTTTTTGCATGAGCTTCCTCCACCTCCTTTCCAAATTAATATGCTTTAGAAGCAAGCATATGATTCGCACTTTCAATTAATATAGTAAGGACAGTTTGGTGGACTGTTAGCTTGGATCAATCATAGTAATAATCATTATACATTATACAGGGCGGAGGATCAAACTCAAGCGTACTCGGGCGTACGATGAATGGCAGGAACTCTACTTTGGCCAATCGACTTAACTCATATAAGCACTTATATCACATCATATATTTTGGACATATATGTATGAAGTACATAAACTTGCTTGAAATGGCGGATCGTCTTAAAGGCCTTTGTTCATAGGCCCACAGTTCCAGTACAGAATTTACAAACTTTTGGGAATTAAATATATCTTGAGAATTAAAATTTAAAACGCAAGCATAAACTTTTGCTAATCTGGAAACTTGATTATGAATATGAAGAGGTTTGTGTTGTTTGTTAATAAAAGCATATAATAATATTTTTTAAAAAATTATATTGCCATGCACCGATGGGAGATGGACATGGACAACATGTTACTTGTTCACTTGTGATGAGCAAAGGCTGTGAGAAAACAGAACTGTAAGAAGCTTAACACATGTGAAAGCCATTGGATTGGTGGTGGGGACCATGCAAGGCCCACCGTTGGATTGGATCAATATCCTGCGGTAACACAGTAATGACAGATGCCTGCATTTGCATGACATGCATGGGCTTGTTCACGTGCCACACCGTTTTCCACAATTTGCATTTAATAAGAATTACCCAACACTCAGGCCACACCATATGCTTTATGGTAAAATATCCAACAAAAATAGTCGAGAGAGTTTTTCTTGTTTAGAAGAAGTTAACTACGTGATTTGAACTCGAGATCTTTTTTAATAAAACGAAGACATTGATGTTTTACTAGACCAAATAATTATCCGTAATTGGGAAAAGTCTTAACAACGGAAACATCAGTCAGAAGAAGATCTTAGGTTAACTTTCAGTTACGTACCTGCTTGAAAACTAACTCCATCAAGTAATCAATACTATTTTAAATTGATAAAGGACTTAAGTCTTTATGACTAGCCTCGTATACTTGAACTTAATTTTGTTTAAAGCTGATATTTTGTTTAATGTTGGTGTAAAGTACTCATTAACCCACAACACCAAGGTATTATTATTATTAGTAGGTTTGGAATAAGAATGGAACATGGCATGTGGCCACGTGACTGGCATGGGGGTTGTCTTGCAAAATACAAAAACAGCCAGACGACACGCCATTTTCAGATACTCAAATAAATCCAAAGCATCAATTCCAAAGCTTTGTTTCATTATCCCACCGAAAAAAGATCCATACTTTGCCAATTCCAACACCAGACGTGAATAATGAACAGTTTTTTCATCCAATTATTTGGAACGTTTGATTGAGCAAAGAAGATGGTCGTATAGAGTGGATGAGGGGACATCCTAGGTCAAAAGGAAATTGTACCACAAGCCTCTTAAGCACGTGGAATTTATGGATAACGTTTCTAATATACCATGCATACTTGTTTTATACAACATTTGCCCAAGGCCATGAACTTCCTTAATTGCACTTCACAATTTAAAATCATAACATTGGAAAAATCAATTATCGTAATCAAGGAAAATATAGATTTTCGCTAACGGATGTGATCAAGGCATGACGAATGCTGACATAAGTGATCAAGATGACATAATCTCGGAAATATAATGTTAAGAAATAAGTTGTTGATTGATGGAATTGAAGCATGATTATTAACATAAAACTATTAATTTAGGGAGTTGATTTTCTTATTCATCTTTTGTCCACTTACACTCCATTTTATACCAATCTCTAATTGAAATTGGACTTTAAAATAGTAATTAAGGTGAGGGAAATATAAATGGTTGGTTGATGGAATTGAGGCGCAATGAAATGAAATCTACCAACTCATACCAACCTCTATAGCTAGTAATTGTATGTGTGCCTCTTATTTGGTCGGATTATACAAACCAACATAATGTTATCTTAAACACACTAGACATTTAATTTGTACTAGAATTATCCATAAAGTGATTATTTCAAATGGATAGCTTCTTCACACACACAGCAATGGCCCCTCCACCCATCTTCACGCCTTCCTTGTTCAACATCTGTATCATTGTTTAATGAATTTTAACTTTCACTTGAGTAACTTCCAAGGCACACACTCACTCTCATATCTGGTTGTCTCGTAGTCATTTGTCACCGACCTCTCTCTCTCTCTCTCTCTCTCTCTCTCTCTCTCTCAAAGCTCAAATACGCAAGAAGAATAAGAGACGCAAATCACTCGAACAAGAAGAAAAAGCAAAAAGTCTCAATCACCCTCACCACCACCACACCCTCCCTCTTCAACTTTCAACCCAAAACCCAATAATAATCACTCATCCCCCTCTTCCAAGCAACCCTCTTTCCACCTCTTCGTCAACACCAAACCCACCTCTCCTCCTCCTCACCCTCTCTCTAAATACCCAACCCCCATTTCATTTTTATATTCTACAAACACACACTCTCTCTGTTGTCTTTTAACTTTCACTCTGTTTTAGACTTTAGGCTTTTATTATCACACGTTAGTTGTTGGGTTCATTGGTTTTATTATTTTAGTTTAGAAAGCAGAATGGCCCGGCTCTTCCGATCCAAATCTTGCCATCTCGTTGGACTCACTGAGTTCAACATTGCTCCTCCGAGCCCATTTTCCCACCACCATAACAACAAAGACGTTGATGGAGAAGATGAAGAAGAGGAAGAGGAGATGGAAGAGCTGGAATATGAGGACTTGGGTTATGAAGATGAGGTTCAAAACAATCCCATGTCGACCCCATTTCTTTATCCCACAAGTAGAGCCCATGCGAGCAATAAAGGTCGAGACTTTCATGCTCATAATGGTCACCAGCAGCAAAACCAGTTTGCTGTACTGGACATTTTGGTGGCTGCGCTGAGGAAGTCTTTGATAACTTGCAGTGTGGAGAGGGATGACGTGGCTTCCTCTATCGATATCAGTTCTCCTACTGAGGTGAGGCATGTTTCGCATGTCACATTTGACAGGTTTAATGGATTTCTGGGTTTGCCCACTGAGCTTGAGCCTGAGGTCCCCAGGAAGGCGCCTAGTGCCAGAGTTTGATCTTTTTGCAATTTTGCCTTCTTTTTTTTTTAAAATAATTGGTTTTTGTGGAATTTATGAATTGACTTGGTTATCTGGAAATTTTGGGCCTTTGGATTGGTTTGAATTACCAGTAGTCTGAATTTGAAAACTTTGACAGATTCAAGTTCATTCATACTTGGATTTTATGTGTGTGTTTGAGGGGGTGTTTTTCTTACTTGCTACTTTGCTTTTAATAATGAAATTGAAATTATGTTGTTCTCTTGTAGACTTCTAAATCAGTTTCTGTGATTTATGGTCTTGTTTTGGCTTCTCTTTTGAAACTCCGCAATTTTATGTCTGGTTGGCTTGTCAAAATTGGTCTTTCTGACTCTTGGGTTCCCCTGAAAAACAAATTAACCAAGTGGCTTACTTTAAATGGTTTTTTATTTTTTATAAACACAATTGGCTTGAGTCTTGACCAAGGTGTGAATCCCCTTCTCTGTGTTAGTCACAATCACAACCATTACCGCTTTAACTGATCTCCTCAAGAACAGAGTTCCCCTGAGGATACTGATTTAATTTAAGTTCATATTTGGGGAGGGAATTTAGAGAGGGAAAGATGATTTGATTCTGACCTAATTAGATTGTTTCACCTTTTTAGTGCTTATAATTTGTGCTTCCTGCCATATCATAGCTTTTGCTATTCTGCCTTGAATTTGGTTGAAAGTGTTGGTAGGCACTTAGGCAGATAAGGGAATGTAACATGGAAGGGATTTATCGTCTTTCATTTTGTTTCTATAGCGATGGGTGGAGTGATTCTAATTATCAAAGGAAACCATTTGGTCTGTTCGGTTTGCAGTAGCGAAGATTGTTAAAAACATCTTATTGTGCAAATGGATTTGCATAGGGTAGCAAACACTTGATCTTTCGGCATTGTTTGTGTTAGTTTTTATTCTTTTTGTTTTCGTGAGTGGATTGTACTAAAAAACTATCTGAAGGTAGATTTGGGAAACATGTATGTGGGTCTGGCAGATGGGAGTTTTTGTATCAGCAGTTTGAATATATGTCTTACATCATTTCCTTGAGTCCTAACATCAATGTTTCTGTACCATTCTATTTGATTAAGGACTAATGGGATACGCTTCTTTTCATCCAGTGCAAGTGTGTTTGGGGTCTCTGCCAAGTCAATGCAGTGTTCTTATGATAATAAAGGAAACAGTGTGCCTACAATACTTCTTATGATGCAAAAGCGATTGTATTCAGGAGGAGGCCTTAAAGTAAGTTTGGTTTCTGAATTACTAGCCGAGTTTTACTTGTATGCTTCTTTGCACTTCTAACAAAACATGAGGTGTTATTTCACTCTCCTCCTGCTTAAAGGCAGAAGGAATATTCAGAATAAATGCTGAAAATAGCCAGGAAGAGCGTGTTCGGGACCAATTAAACAAAGGTGTAGTCCCGCATGGAATTGATGTTCATTGTTTAGCAGGTTTGATAAAGGTAAACATATTTGACATTTCTAAGAAAAACTCCTCTATTATGCGTTTGTATACATTTTGAAATACATAGCCACTGGCTCCTTCTTCAGAATGTTTAGTGTTGTTAAAAATGTTATAGTGAACTTTCAGTTTTTCCTTCAATCTTTCAAATTCTTGATCTTAAATAAACCCTCTTGAATTAAACCTTTCATTCCTGTCATTTATGATATCTAAAATTATCATTTTTAACTTTGGGTTTGTGCTCCTTTTCCTTTTCTTTCTTTTGGTTGTCAACTTCTTCTTCCTCCTTTTACTAATGGGTGCTCCCCCTCCTCTCCCCTTCTTAAACCTTGCAGGCATGGTTTAGAGAGCTTCCTTCAAGGGTACTTGATCCACTCACACCAGAACAGGTGCTGCGCTGCAACACAGAAGATGACTGCACAAGACTGGTGAAGACACTTCCTCCAACAGAAGCTTCACTGCTTGATTGGGCCATCAATCTGATGGCGGATGTTGCGCAGAATGAACAGCACAACAAGATGAATGCACGCAACATTGCTATGGTTTTTGCACCGAACATGACTGAGGTTGGTAGCCTTTGATTTAAAATGGTTGTATATTGTTGTTTTACGTGTGAAATGTCTCTGGTTGCTATATGTTGTTTGCCTCAATTTTTCTTTGAAACTCTCTCCATTTTGAGTTATGGTCAAGCCTGATGGTTGTTATAGCTTTAAAGTAAGAACTGCTGCGGATGATATCTAACAGTATCAATGTCCTTGGAAAGATTAAATGAAATGTTGTTGTTCCTTGGCCCCCCAGGTGGGCCAAGTTGGCCAGGACTCAGGACAACACATTTTAGATGGAAGGCCCAAGTTGGCCTCCCACAATAATACCTTGTTGATTACCTGATACCTAGGTCAAGTGTAGGCCTGGATTTTGGGGTTTATCAGGCCCACCTATTAAAAGATGAGTCAATCCATAACATCAAAAGATTGTTGGTCCTTGGCTATGACTTGGATCTGACAATGATTCATTGTTTTATAAAACTTAGCCGAGTTTATTCTAGCAGGGCTTCATTGTTATACAGTTCTTTTACTGGGGGTAATTCTGGTTGTAATGACCATATATAAGACAATCCTCTTTGTTCACAAACAAATATAAGCTTTGCTATAGACTAAACTAGAATTGTTGCTGCAGATGGCAGATCCTTTAACTGCATTGATACATGCAGTGCAAGTTATGAATTTCCTGAAGACACTGATTTTAAAAATCCTGCGTGAGCGAGAGGAATCAGCTGCAGAGGCTACACTGCATTCACCAAGCTCGAAATCTCCCAACCACAACAGTGACACTGTGTATTCATTCATGGGCGAATCCTTTGGGCAGAATCTAAATACCTGTGCCCCCAAGGGACCTGTTGATGATATCTCATTCAGGACTACCAGTTCGGACAGCCCGAAAGCTGACATTGATGAGAAACTGTGGTGCTCTCCGGTATTAAGTGACGGGGAAGATGAACTTGAGTCCAATTCACACAGCAGCATGTCTACTAAGTATGAACTCGATTGTTCCGAAAATGGATGTAGAAGTGGATATGAAGCTGGAGACTGGTTAAGTTTGAGGAAAGGAGTGCGGAAGCTGTGCAGCCACCCGGTGTTTCAGTTGAGTAAGCCGCCGAAGAATGAAAATCTTGGGATTGTAAATACTAGGGGAGGAGGAGGAGAACCATGGGCATAGAAATGGGAACCTCTGAGAGAGAGAGAGAGAGAGAGAGAGAGAGAGAGAGAGGAGAGAGAGAGAGATGTCTGTATTTGTTCATAATATGTTGGTTGTGGTTGGTTTGTGTGAACATTTTTATAGCATAGATGTTAGGCTTTTGGTTGATTCTCTAATCAGATAAAAAGGTTTGGAAGGAACTAACTTGGAGGGGTAGAGAAATGGATATAACTTTGAGTGCTTTTAATAACAATGTTGGAGATTTTATACAAGTGAATAAGCCTTGAAAGGATGCCACTACAGACAATTGATAATGTTAGTGAGAAATTAACACATCAAAAATCAACTGCAAAAAGAGAAGAGAGTTTTGAAGGGGTTACCCTTCAATAAACTACACATTTGATTGGGTTTGTGGTTTAGTTTTGGGCTCAAAATGGCAATTGGTTGCATTCATGGGCCAAACCCCAATCCTCCCCATCATAGAGAGCAGAATGAGCCCAAAACAAGGAGGCCTTTTGAAACCAAAAAAAAGTGAAAAAAAGAGGAGAAAATAACTGGTGTAGTCTCTAAGATTTGGATTATGCGAAGTGACGTCGGTAATTTAGCAAAGATCTCTTTTGACATTAAGTATTTGATCCTCTCTCCCCAAATCTTTGACATTATTATTTTATTTTAATATGCAAAAGTATAAACCATAATTATGCTTAAAAAATCGTGGGTATGAATTAAACTCATTGATTATTATATATTATATTATTTTAATCAAAACTTAGGCACACACCTTTTCTTACTTATATGATATATTATATATATATATATATTTGTGATGAGTTCAATGCGCACTAACTTGACGTAACTTTGAATTTATTTTCATTTCAAGTGACTTTGACACTCGGTCTATTTTCTTTAAAGTTTTCATTGCAAAAGGAAAAAATGGAAAGAAGCCTCAGGATCTACTAGCTAATATAGTTATATAGATTTTGATTGTCGTTGCTAACATTAACCACAGGCAGTCGGCGGTCACAATCGATATTCGTGGTTTTAGGCCCTCGATTAAGATCTCTTAATTTCCGTACATATAATAGACCCTTTGCATGCAACTCCAAAACCCAATTTCCCCCCTCACAAATCCTCCTGCATGGAAACAAGATTTTAGATTTAAAAAATATCACGGATCTTACCTTAACAGTTATTTTTGTCTGTGTCATAAGTTTGAAATGATCTTTCATTATATATATATATATATATATACATATACAATTATTGGGTATAAACATAATTATTAAATCAAAATGTTGATAAGTACATAAAAAAGATAGAACAAAGGAGATTGTGTGGCCAGGCTCTCTCTAATATTCCATAAATACCAAGTACTAATATTCCACTCCAGATCCTAATTTCTTTTATTGGAAATCGCTCGTACATACACATGTCAAATATTAAGAATGATAACGAAAATACACCTTAGGTTAAGTTTCTTTTCTCTTTTTAATGCTTTTAGAATGTACTTTTTTCATTAAAGGTTGTGTGTACAGCAGTGTACACTCCCTTAGAAAATTATTAGTTGGAATGAACTACAACCAAAATATGGCAATGGCAGGTATACGAATAAATAACATAGGTCCTACTTTAATGTTATACCGTAGCAGAGTATGATGACGAAAAAGACGAGTCCTAGACGCACAGTTTTTGGACCCTCATGCATGATGAATGACTGGTTGGTTTGTTGATACGTAGTAACGTAGTCCAAAAATTCTGATGATGGAGTTACTCTTTAAAGTGTAGGTGCAAAGCTGGAGAGCCATGTTAAAACATAATGAAAAGTGTCATTGCATATACAGGTGATGCCAGTTAGGTAAGGTAGTGTGCTTACTTCCTTGCATTCAAATTCGATTCTCGTCCCTGTAAGTTTTTGTTGACTCTCTAAAATCTCCTTGGACCGCAGATGGGTCTGCCCTTGTTGCTCGGTCTGGTAACTCTTCTTCGGACACCATTTTCCCTCGTTCCCTGACCCTTTTCCTCTGGGCCATCTAATCGGCATCTTTTAAGCATCATGCACTACCTTCCTTTTTCACAAGAAGCCCAATACGAATATATCCAGCAAGTACAAATTTTTGGGCTGAAGAGTTTTTTGATCACCTCAGCTCGATCCGGCCGACATTATATTTCAACTATACAAAATACCACAACTGAATTGAAGGGACTCATCAGAAGGAGTGGTCCTAATTCGATTTCTTTTGGAATAATCAATGATATTCTAGAGAGGTGGTTAAGAGGGAATATTATCTTGTTCACAAGCAAACTCAATCAGGTGGGAAGCTGTCCCCATTTGGGTCTCTACTGCACTGATGATCAACATGGCAACTTCCAATCCAATTATAATTAATTATGGTGACAAGGAAGTGAGTGTATACAACCACTGTCTTTATGATCGATAGCGTCGTCACTATATAGGTGTTCGGTGTTTTAATTAACTTCATTGTCAAGGAGAGATAGAGAGCCGGAGAGGGACTCTACCAATTGTCCCATATACATGCCTGGCTCAACTGAATAACAAAATCCAATGAATAAGTAGAGACAAAAATCAAGTAATTAAATCAAAAGTGGAGAGTGAAAAACACTTAAGACCCGTCTAGTAACGTTTTCAGAGAATGTTTTCTAAGAATATTTTCAGAGAATGAAAATGAGAAAACGAATTTGCACTTTCAGGTTTCGAGAATGCGTTTGGCAAATTAATTGGAAAACAAGTTTAGAAAATGAAAACAATGAAAACATGTATGGTAGTACAATTTAAGAATAATAATATGTGAGCTATTTTGCAAATATATTTTTGCTAATGTATGTTCTAAACAAAAATTAAAACAATAATAAATTTCTAATTCTAAAAAAAACTAGAAAAAGAATGTATAATTCTAATAAAAATACATCATATAATCTATGTGAGCTATTTTTCATGGAATTATGGAATTGAAAAAAAAAGGAAACAAAATACAGATAAATCTTTTATGAACATTCTAATTAGTTAAAAAAGTTTTATAAAAATAAAATAAAAACAGAAGATTTATATTTTTTTTTAAAAGAAACCCAACCCCACTGCACCATCCCCCTCCCCTATCTCATGAGAGAAACTCTCATGTAATAGGTATAATACTTTTTGCTATTCCCGGTCAATAATGCAATGACACGTAGGATAACTTTTGCACGTAACACAAGGATAGCAAAACATTGATATCCCTGTTACATGTAAGTTTTTTTGCTATTGGAGACGTCATCGCCTCTCTCTCTCTCTCTCTGAACGGAAAATGAAAATGGGATCCCAAAAACGTAAAAAAGGGGCCCTTAGCTTACCATAGAAAACGATGTCGTCCTAATCAATTATGGTATTTGTTTAGGGTAAGCTAGATGTAGCTATAGAACGTTATTTTGCACATGTAATTATGGTATTTGTTTGATGGCATGATACGAAAGTGGCATCCTTTTCAAAGGATTCTATTTTTAATACTGTTGTTGTGGTCCTATTTTGATTGGACATGACAAACAAAGCCTATCGATCCCCAAAATTGTCCACAATTTGGCCATCCTTCATATATTAAAAAAAAATTATCTATATACATACTAGTTAAGTGTGTATTAATTTAATATATTATCATCTCTCTTAATAAAAAATTTTATATAATAAATAATAATAAATTTAAACCATGAATTAAACAATAAATATATGCACAATATCTCTGTTCCATAAAATGAATTCCTTGGTTGGCAACTTGGCTTGGGAAGAAGAAATAGCTATTAGCTAGGCTGCAGGCTGCATGCATGTTCCTCTCAGTGAACTTGTCGCTGCAGGTCGTCTAATCGAAATTCATATCAATATCCTGGAAATGAGGTTTTGTATTTCTCTTTAAAATCGTTCTTTCTTAATTTGCTGCATCAAGGCATGCTCTGATTTTCTTTTCGCAAAAAGAAACTCTTCCATCTATTGGAAAACATTGCTAGAGCTTGCTCGTTCAATTTCAGCATGTCAGCAGAGAGTTACAATAGGAATAACTACGAAAACGAAATGAAAAGAAAGATCAAATGCAGCTCTACCTATAAGTTGCAACTTGACATTACAATTGGTACAATAATATGTACAGATTAAAGCTATTGAGAAAGAGAAAGAAGAATATAAATATATAAATTCTATATTCAATTTGCGTTCTAAAGATCAAAACAATTTATTTTTTTATGTTGTATTTGTATGAATAATAAAAAAATCAACCAAATCGAAATTTTTTTAGTCTTTTCATTATAATTTCACTTTTAGCTGGCAAACTCTATTGTCCGCACAATAATTGTTTTGACTAAATTTTCTTAATTATATCCTTTAAGGAACATGTTAAAGAAACGATTATCGTAATTGAAATACATTGCGGAATAATCTTGCATATAAAAACAATCATTGAAAGTAACCATATATAAAACATAGTTTTAAGAATGTAAATTAAACTCTGACAAACGCTACATATACAGTTAGTAGTACTGTGAATCAATAAAAATGAATATTTCTGACGATTTTATATTTAAATGTAAAAAGAAATGGAATAAACGTTTACCATGTGGCACTGTGCTAGTTTTTCAGTTCATGGTTAAACTCTTTTATTTATTTATATGGAGTGCCTTTCAATGCCATTCAAAATATTAATAATAATAATAATAATAATAACCAAAAGTAAACATACTGCGAGCAATTTTCTTAAGTTGTACGGCACTTTCGATTTTATACTACGAACGTGGATAAAACCAATCACCAAGTCTTGATTTGATCACGAAAGCCACCATTGAAATTAATATAATAAGCAACATGAGTAAGCACCCAACTCAGTATTATATATTATCATATTTTTCCTCGTGCTGTAAAATCTTATTGGTTAAACTTTTCCACCCATTAAAATACGTCAATTCTGCTTTGATTACTTTGCACTAACATATATTAACCATAAATATTTTGTCGCACCAAATTAAAAACCAAATGGACAGCAGAC